GGACAAATATAAAATACATATTAAAAGTTAAAAAAAAATCCACCATGCGGAAAGTAGGGAAATTCGGTACTCTCGAAATATGGACACAAAGATGACGCAAAACCTGAATATAAAAGGTGTACCAGGATAGGTTCAGATTTAGAATCTAGATTGTACGCTTTTGGGAGCGCAGGGAATAACCCATTTATGCAAAAAATAATTTTTTCTCATCCAATTTATTAATACAGTGTATTTGATGGATATATATGAAATATATATTAAAATTTAAAAAAAATCCACCGTGCGGAAAGTAGGGAAATTCCCCTCAATTGAAGAAAAAAATATAAGAAATGGTCAATTTAACTCAGTTAATTCCCTACTTTCCGCACCGTGGATTTTTTTTAAATTTTAATATGTATTTTATATTTGTCCACCAAATACACCGTATTAATGAATTGGATGAGAAAATATTCTTTCTTGGATAAATTACGCTTTAACTGAGTTAAATAGATGATTTTTCAAATATTTTCATCAAATTGGGGGGAATTTCCCTACTTTCCGCACGGTGGATTTTTTTTAAATTTTGATATCTATTTTATATTTGTCCACCAAATACACCGTATTAATGAATTGGATGAGAAAATATTCTTTCTTGGATAAATTACGCTTTAACTGAGTTAAATAGACGATTTCTCAAATATTTTCATCAAATTGGGGAGAATTTCCCTACTTTCCGCACGGTGGATTTTTTTAAAATTTCGATATCTATTTTATATTTGTCCACCAAACACACTGCATTAATGAATTGGATGAGAAAAAATTCCTTCTTACCTAAATTACGCTTTAACTGAGTCAAATTGATAATTTCTTATATTTTTTTCTTCAATTGAGGGGAATTTCCCTACTTTCCGCACGGTGGATTTTTTTTAAATTTTAATATGTATTTTATATTTGTCCACCAAATACACCGTATTAATGAATTGGATGAGAAAAAATTATTTTTTGCATAAATGGGTTATTCCCTGCGCTCCCAAAAGCGTACAATCTAGATTCTAAATCTGAACCTATCCTGGTACACCTTTTATATTCAGGTTGTGCGTCATCTTTGTGTCCATATTTCGAGAGTACCGAATTTCCCTACTTTACGCATGGTGGATTTTTTTCAAATTTTAATATGTATTTTATACTTGTCCACCGAACACACTGCATTAATGAATTGGATGAGAAAAAATTCCTTCTTACCTAAATTACGCTTTAATTAACTGAGTCAAATTGACGATTTCTTATATATATTTTTTAATTGAGGGGGAATTCCCTACTTTCCGCACGGTGGATTTTTTTCAAATTTTAATATGTATTTTATACTTGTCCACCGAACACACTGCATTAATGAATTGGATGAGAAAAAATTCCTTCTTACCTAAATTACGCTTTAATTGAGTTAAATTGACGATTTCTTATATTTTTTTCTTCAATTGAGGGGAATTTCCCTACTTTCCGCACGGTGGATTTTTTTTTAAATTTTATTATGTATTTTATATTTGTCCACCAAATACACTGTATTAATGAAATGGATGAGAAAATATTCTTTCTTGCATAAATTATTTTTTAACTGAGTTGGATAGACGATTTCTCAAATATTTTCATTAAATTGAGGGGAATTTCCCTACTTTCCGCGCGGTGGATTTTTTTTTAAATTTTAATATGTATTTTATATTTGTCCACCAAATACACCGTATTAATGAATTGGATGAGAAAATATTCTTTCTTAAATAAATTACGCTTTAACTGAGTTAAATAGACGATTTCTCAAATATTTTCATCGAATTGGGGGGAATTTCCCTACTTTCAGCACGGTGAATTTTTTTTAAATTTCAATATGTATTTTATATTCGTCAACCAAATGCACTGTATCAATGAATTGGTTGAGAAAATATTCTTTCTTGCATAAATTATTTTTTAACTGAGTTGGATAGACGATTTCTTAAATATTTCCATTAAATTGAGGGGAATTTCCCTACTTTCCGCACGGTGGATTTTTTTTAAATTTCGATATCTCTTTTATATTTGTCCACCAAATACACTGCATTAATGAATTGGATGAGAAAAATTCCTTCTTCCCTAAATTACGCTTTAACTGAGTCAAATTGACAATTTCTTATATTTTTTCCTTCAATTGAGGGGAATTTCCCTATTTTCCGCACGGTGGATTTTTTTTAAATTTTAATATGTATTTTATATTTGTCCACCAAATACACCGTATTAATGAATTGGATGAGAAAATATTCTTTCTTGGATAAATTACTCTTTAACTGAGTTAAATAGACGATTTTTCAAATATTTTCATCAAATTGGGGGGAATTTCCCTACTTTCCGCACGGTGGATTTTTTTAAAATTTCAATATGTATTTTATATACGTCCACCAAATACACTGTATCAATGAATTGGATGAGAAAATATTCTTTCCTGCATAAATTATTTTTTAACTGAGTTGGATAGACGATTTCTAAAATATTTCCAATAAATTGAGGGGAATTTCCCTACTTTCCGCACGGTGGATTTTTTTTAAATTTTAATATGTATTTTATATTTGTCCACCAAATACATTGTATTAATGAATTGGATGAGAAAATATTCTTTCTTGCATAAATTATGCTTTAACTGAGTTGGATAGACGATTTTTCAAATATTTCCATCAAATTGGGGGGAACTTCCCTACTTTCCGCGCGGTGGATTTTTTTTAATTCTAATATATATTTTATATATATCCATCAAATACACTGTATTAATAAATTGGATGAGAAAAAATTATTTTTTGCATAAATGGGTTATTCCCTCGCTCCCAAAAGCGTACAATCTAGATTCTAAATCTGAACCTATCCTGGAACACCTTTTATATTCAGGTTTTGCGTCATCTTTGTGTCCATATTTCGAGAGTACCGAATTTCCCTACTTTCCGCATGTTTTTTTTTTTTTAACTTTTAATATGTATTTTATATTTGTCCACCAAACACACTGCATTAATGAACTGGATGAGAAAAAATTCCTTCTTACCTAAATTACGCTTTAACTGAGTCAAATTGACGATTTCTTATATATATTTTTTAATTGAGGGGGAATTCCCTACTTTCCGCACGTTGGATTTTTTTTAAATTTTAATATGTATTTTATATTTGTCCACCAAATACACTGTATTAATGAATTGGATGAGAAAATATTATTTCCTGCATAAATTACGCTTTAACTGAGGTATATTGACAATTTCTTAAAAATTTTCCTTTAATTGGGGGGTATTTCCCAACTTTCCGCATAGTGGAATTGTTTTAAAATTTAATATATGTTTTATATATCTTCATCAAATTCACTGTATTAATGAATTGGATGAGAAAAAATTATTTCTTGCATAAATTACGCTTCAACTCAGTTAAATTTTAGATTTTGTCGATAAATGAGCTTATGAGCAATAATTCATTTTATCGAGGAAAAAATGTGTTGTTTCAATCATTTTTGGTTTCAGGTCTGTCGTCAGTTTCTAAAAGGGAGAATCGCCTAATTTTTTGCATCCATGTAGCCGCAATTAAGTGAATTCGCGACAACTGTCGTGGAACATGGCGGGTTCAAATTTGGAAAAATTGGTAACTGTCCGCTGTAAGTGGCCGCTAGCTTTACCTAGGTGTCGGGACGTCAGGGGAAGAGACGTTTAAAAGTGGGACGTATGGTATGCCTAATACTGCCGATACATCAGATCAGATTTAATAAATATAGAAATCCTATCATGTCTCAATGTTTATCCTAAGTATGAGTTTTAGACTAATGTGATGAATAACTTAGCAATAGGACGGAAGAACTCTAGTACATAAACGATGTGTATGTAGTTCGAGCATCAACCCAAATAGAATGGGGAGATGCTAAGGTTAAAAATGGTAGCATAGTCATTGTATCGTTGAACGCTTGGATAATACTTAAAACAAAGTCAAAAATAGTAATTGATTTGCTTCTGGTATTTTGTATATTTCTGTTGTAAATGTCAATATACCGGTACGTAAAATAAAATTAGAAGCTACCTCAAGTGACAACATGGAAAACTAAAAAATGTTGGCGTACATGGAAGCACATAAAACATTTCATTAACTAATCACCATTCTGCATATCTGACAAGCACATTTATTTTATTTATGATACTAGTTCGAATGCGACGAATCTTGTGCACTCCGTCATTCCAACACTATATTGTTTCACGTTCTTACGATGTGTCTCAATTTAAGTTGTCATTTATCACAAAGTTTTGCATGTTAGTATAAGATAATTTATAGAAAAACTGTTCCAGGTCACATTTCAGCTACATTGTTCAGGTAACTGAAGACATATCTGACACGAGGTATTACAACTATTCGCTCAATAAGTGTATAAAGGAAGGGTAGAGGGCTTCGGTTGGCACATCCACATCTGTTTCCATGTAATTTCAATTACCCCTTTACTGCATTGTTCATTCACTGAAATATAGACGCGTTATAGAACTTCCGCAAAAGCCGAGATATGCGACAAAAAAGCTCCCAAAATATACCAAAGATTAACATTTTCATTTGCTGTATTTGAAGGTTGATGCTTATTATTTGAAACTATTCGCATAATATGTATTTTTTAAAGAAAAGCCATTTCCTCTTGAGTTTGAAGGCATTTTTAATGTTATTCGCTGGTTATCAGACAATTGTATATGGTTTTAATGTCGTTTGCAGACCGGGACAACACTCAGCAGGCACCTCTGCCATCGCACCGATGGTCTGTTACGGCTGCCTCCACCATCAACCATATGTATGTGAAACAAATAACTGGCTATTCCCATACCAGACATGGGTTGGTAACTAGACGAGAAGCCGTGGTTCGACATATGATTGATTAATCAGACATATCGTTCCTTATTTCCGCGATATATATGTAAATCCTATCCTATCCCATTGTTCGATGTTATCGAAATCGGGCCTCTATCAATAATCATCGAGCCTGAATTTAACAGCAGCAGTCCACAAACGAATATACATTAATTATTTTCAATTCATTTTTCATGCAGTTAAATGTGATGAATATATATTTTTATACAATTAGTGAGCATAAAACGATAATCGCTAAATTCTCTAGACCAGTCTTTCCCAACTGGCTGTAAATTCTCTTGCATTTCAAGAGATAATGTTCCATTTTTATGTTAAACAACTAACGAGTTTTCATGCTTGGTGACATAAAAATAGCTATGAGGGTATTACCACAGATTTTGTGACCAAAATAAGCAGTTGGTTACATATTTTTATACACTATTGCATTGGTAAATTATCAATATTCAAATATTACAATAAATTTAACACATTAGTCTATGAATAGGATGTTCAACTGTGACTGTGTATTTTATTTCTTTGATCTAGCAGGGACAATGGATAGAAATAGACAAAGGGAAAAATGCAGCAAAATGTTGGGAAACACTGCTCTAAACAATACTAACAATGATTAAGAATATACAGCTGGGGACTAGAAAGTTAAATTTAGGGCGATACAAACATAACATTTACGGTTATTTGTCCCGCTACTTTTGGAACTTCATACTTTAATTAATGATAATATTATACTTGGATAGACTTGCATGATGAAATAAATATATACAAGATTACAACAGACATGTTGACATTTTATTACATATCTTTTAAATCCGGGTAATACATGGTACAGTTTAGGATATTCTGAAAATAATATCAGTTGACATGAATCGCATGCTTAATATAATACATATCAAAAAGTAAATATTGAATCACATTTCTGAACCTCAAATAAGGAAAAGTATTACCATTAAACATTTTAATATTACAAGTGATTCGTGAATGTTCTGAAAACAGTTGAGAATCTGATTAAAAACCATCTACACAAATTAGATTGAGTTGTCTGTATATTAAGTTCATGTTAAAGAATTGAATCCCAGGACTGTTAAACGAAACAAATGTGATACATGCTGAAAACGAACTTCGACAGGTATTCTTTCATACCAGGAACTGGATGGATAGTCTTCTATAAACTCCAAGGAAGGAAAAATGTAGATCAAACTAAATTATGAAAAATAAACCATATCATATTATCAGTTGTAGGGAGTAACTAGACACAAGATAATATCAAACACACGGCTGCTACGAAAGTTTCAGAATTGAATGAATGAGGTTTTAACAATTGTCAAATTAATTGAAAGTGATTTACTATGTTATTAAATGAAAAAATACATTTCTAGTAAATCTCAAATCTAAAAATTTTAATATCAAGATTCTATAAATGTTTTAAATCAGTTCAATTAGTCATAAATAACATAGAAAGAAAAGTTTATTAATATTCCAGTCTATGTCATTTGCAAACAAGTCAGGTGATAGTCGTTTTGGACACTGCATGACCAACAACGAAATCAGACACATTGGGAAATAATCCCTAATCACTCATAGTTTGAAAATTGGCTATAATTTAGATGTAGTTGGGTTTATTTATGCCTACCTCCATAAAGGTTTAAAATCTGGAACTTTGATCAACATTTCATTGATATGCTGCTGAAGGGAAGTAACATCAGTATGCTCGAAAGCTTCCTTCAAACTTCTCAAAGTTTCCTGATCTTCAATTTCTACTTGTTCAACTGTTTTTATAGTAAAATATATAAGAACATATTGCAACACAATGCACTAATCTAGATCAGGGGTGGACCACATACGGCCCCCGGGCCAGATCCGGCCCGCTGACTGTATCCAACCACACCTTGAAATGTGGTCCGACGCATCATTCCTGAAAGTTGCCGATCTACTCTCACCGCACTGTCAGTGCAAGCTGGTAAAATAAACAATTGCCTTAGTGAACAAACAATTGCGTTAGCACACTGGTTAAACAAACAATATAAGGTCAAAGCAGAAAGCGTTGTAAACATTCCATAAACATAATCCATATCCACATAAACAGATTTATTATTTTGTCAACCAAAAACAAACAGTGATCAATACGAAAAAAATACATAATACAAATAAAATTGCTTCGGTATTGACAGGAGGGAGCGATACGACCATGAGGTCATCGAGGTCAACTCCCAGTTGGTCTGTCAAATAATACTTTTGAAAATTCGATGTAATCTCAGCAAACTATTGGGGGAAGGCATGTTTTATTGAGAACTCATTTAAGCAATAAAAGTTCTATATGCTTAAGATCAGTGGTTCCCAACCGTCGGTCCGTGGACCGGTGCCAGTACGCGAGGCTTTTTTGCCGGTCCGCAGAAAATTTCATTTTGTTGTTTTTCTACTGTCTGAATCGCTTTACCGAAGCCGAAAAGACGAAGTTACGTTGGTTTATTACGCAATATTGCTGTTGGATACGTGCGGGATGGCCCGGCAACGTCTTGGCGCCGAGTAATCATACTTTTCGGTTCATCGCGAAAGCGCTCCGTCAAATCTCGCAAGATTCAGAAGCCTGGAAATCAGCATGCGTGCTTTTACCATTCTGCATGCTTTTCTTGATTAATAGGTCAAAGTTATGTTGGTTTATTATGCAATTTCTCCTCCGCCGTCATATTGGTGTTTGATAAGTGCGGTATTAATGGCCCGGCGACGTCTTGGCGCTGAGTAATCACTTTTTGCTTTTTCGTTGCCGATTCATCGTGAAAGCGCTCCGTCAAATCTCGCAAGATTCAGAAACCTGGAAATCAGCATGCATGCTTTTTCCGCTCTGCATGCTTTTCTTGATTAATCCAAATCAATCCAAATAAAAGGTTATGAATATTTCTTTGTTCAAACCAGAATGTATAAAGATAGACAGTATAATATTCCAGAGCATCACCATGAGCATCTAATAAAGATTGGATACCGAAGAATTTTTTGTAATCATCCGGCCCGCCGAGTACTTCATTTTCCCACATCTGGCCCGCCGACTAGAGAAGTTGCCCACCCCTGATCTAGATGATGGGTTAAATTTTTGTTGTGCTTGATGATGTAGGACTGATTCGCCAAATAAAAACAATTGTAAATGAAAGCAAAAATGTCATAATAAGCACAATGCTTTTGGTATTGACTGGGGGAAGCGATACGACCAATACAGTCATCAGAGTCAGCTCCCTCTTATACATCTCCACATCACTTTTATTTAATACATAGACTATATTTATCTATGCAAACCCAAAATGACTAAGATTTCAACTTACCTTCTTGAAGTGATTCTTTGTATGGATTGAGACCTTGTTGCACAAAACTGACTGCCTTGTGACAAGATAGTTTCTGATACAGAGCAAGAGCATGTTGTATCTGGGCTGATTTTGGAATCATTAACAAATGAGACGATGAAAGCATAAGATCATTTTCCAAGTAATCTCGAAGTTTCCTTGTTGATTCAGCTTGTATCTATTATGTTGTTTGCAATTATTACATGAAAGCTACAATAATTCACAATATTGTGTACCTACATATGATGCCTGTGCTAAATACACTATTTAATTATAGAAAAATAAAATAGACCCCATAAACATTATCTAGGCATATTGAAATTTCAACTACAGAAATCCTGTGCCCAAACAATAGTTCCTGCAATAAAATATCACGCTCAACAAGAAATATAGGCTTCACATAACTAAATTACATTGCTGCAAAAGTATTTTTCATGAAAAATTCTATTTTTAACGTGTATGAACGTGTGTGTACGTGTATTGACATACAGGCCTAGTTGTACTCATTGGTTTGCGAATTAGTGGATGTATTTGTGCACCTCAGAGATGATAAAAACCAGGTGAATCATTAAAAATCGACATTCTTACATCATGCTTAGTTTAGGATATCATGAGTTTGTGTTATGTTATGATGAAAAAAAATAAAATAGTGGAAATGGTAAATTTGAGGCACCGATAAATAAAGATTATTGATGGCTTGAAAAACTGTTATTGCACTGTTGATTCTTTGACATATTTGAACGAATTCGGAATTAAGGTAAACTAGATTAAATAGCTTTATTTGACTCTAATGAATAAAAATATCTATTACGGTAGATGTTTTTACAACCATATAGAAAAATGCAATTATCACACTGTCCCTTACTGGTCATATCATTTTGAATTTAATGTATTGAATATGGAGAATGACAATTACCAGTAAAAAAGTAATACCATATTAAATCTTTACACTTGAACTGAATTTTGAATTATTTTATCTTGTATAAACAGTACACTCTTGGCAGATACCGGTTGATATATATACATATACGTAACGAACCTTAGCAAGAAAACTGATAGCTTGAGTTAGAGTTCTAACTCCTTCACACACATCTGCCAAAGTAACTTGTTGAAACATCTCTTCAACTTCATTCGACATTGGTCCGGGTAAAGGTATCTGGAAAAACATAAACTCGGTATATACCTGATTATAAAAAGCATTTTAAATTTTAATGTTAATGATGCATAAGTATATTTGGGGACAAAAGCCATATTTGGTGCTGGATACAATGAGTTGTGTCCTGCACAAGAGTGAAGACTCTCTAATACTTCTTTATTTCTTGTGAATACCATCACATAAAGAGGAATGTTGACAAAAAAGTTTCTAAATCATGGCCGCTACCCAGTTAGCAAGGCAATCTTGCACTCGGCAAGATAGAAACCGTTTGCAGGGCTTACTATAATAGCAGCTGACTTGACAATGTATAGTGGTTCCAATTTTTGCTTATGCCATTGAAATGTTTTTGGTAAGTTTTCCTGCCTGTTCAAGTTGCTTTTTTGAGAATCAATTATACAAGAATATTGTAATTAATTAGTTTAAATGAGACATTTTTGAAACGTATTCTGTAACAATTTAAAGAATAGTAAAAGGCTGTGTATTTTTGTCTGAGAACATTGAAGTCATACCTGTGTAACATTATTTTTCACCACATCCCAATCAGAGCCTATTCCAAAATCTTGAGCATACTTGATACATGGTAAGGTCTGAACACAAGTTGCTCCGTTAAATAAGCAAAACTTTATTTGACAAAAGAAAGTAGCAGTGGACGCTTTGAATAGAATGTATACAGAACATCAATTTAATATATGCTAATGAGAGAACACTAAGATATTATAATTGCGTTGAAAAAGAATTAAAAAAAATATTAAATATATATTTTTAAATAAAATATAAATTGTACCTTCTTTTTAATCATTTTCTTATAAGCTACAAATCTTTCTTTTGCCTAAAAATATATAGAAACTTAAGAACAGTATATAGAAATTGAGCAAAAATGATAAATGAGTACAGAATAAGTAATTACAATGAATTAAGAAAATCTATTAGGCAGTGTTTCTGAAGCAAGCTACAGTAAAAAATAATATTTGTAAGTTCTTCCAAAATAAGACTTCACTACGTTATGAATCTCTATATCAACAAACACAGGCTCACTGATTGAATAGTGATGCATTTGAAAATTTGTCATAAATTAATGTTAATATTTTTGGTGTCTTACGATTTGTATTACAGATTGGAAATGCGTCATTAGTCGAAAAAGTTTGGAAATCTATATATTGACAGAACCAAAATGTTACAGCTTGATGAAGGTCAAGGTATTGCTTGTACATTGAGGTGTATCTTTTCAAATTGTTAATGTCAGCTCATGGCAATGAGACAAAGCTTTCCGAAATTCGGAACTTTTCTGTACTTGCATGTCTAAAAACCATGAGGTTCATACACAATAGCATTGACAAATAGCACACATTACTAACAGACTATTTTAATAGAACAAAGGATGAAATTTAACCAGTTTTTCCAGTGCATCAATATTATAAGTGATGCAATGTTGACGTCCATTTCCATTTTCTCTGACAGTATAAGCAGTATGAAGTTGGATCAATGGCAGCAAATCTTTCTGTTTGTCAACGCAAACAAATTCTGATGATTTCAACTTTGATACATCCACTTCAGGAATTCTTTGTAGGTAAAAAAAAGTTGATATTTATAAAGTTATAACTTTATTTATATTGGAAGAATGTTTGTAAGAACTTTGCTGTAATATCAGTCTTCCCATATAATCTTTAAATTTCTCCTATTCAAAAAAGCCAACTTTCATGTTCTGATATTAGAAAAGCTAGAAATACCTGACCAAAAAATGTTTGCTCTATCTCTGGTAGGTTTTGTGAGTGTCACATTCTAATCACTATAAATAATCATTTATTATTGTTGATATCTCAGACAATCAGCACATGCATATGACACCTCACAGAACTTTTGCCCAGGACAAACCATGTAAACCAGTAAAAACTATACAAAGAAAAATATCCTTGCAAATGAAAAACATTTAATTTTCATGGAGAATTGTCATGAAATTTGTTATTATCAAAACTCCCCATCATAACTGCTAATTTCTTGAAACGCTTGCAAGAAAAAACAATTTTGTATTATTGCTCACCGGCCAACAATGTGTCTGCATTTCGTGAGAAAGTCATTTTGTATATCAACAAGGTATTCAGTCAATAATCTAGCACAGTTTCCTCTTCCTCGCAAGCTTGGTAAAGCCATGGTTACAGGACTTCGGTCACTTATCTTTTTCAAGTATTGTATATTTCTTCTACTGTGATATTTTCTCTCCAGAATTTTATACATCTATCAATAATATATATAATTATATACATGTAATAAAAAATTACAAAAAATATGAGATTTACGATACTTGATGTACTTACTATAGGATATAATTTTAATTGTGACACATTCATATTGGTTTCATATTGGTTCAATTCTCATCAATACCACATACTACTGTATCAAAAATATGAATGAAAATGCCTGTATTGTAATTTGACTGGATACTCGAAAGTTGAGTTGCATGCAGTAAATAGGAAACATGTTGAAGTAGATGATACCTGGTTCCATATTTTTATGTAGTTATCGATCAACTTTCCATTTTCATAGGTTTCATGATCTCTAATTTGCACGAAGGCTATACCTTCCACATCTTTCATATCATAGGTGTCCTGAAATCTAAAAAATAAGGTATGGTATGTGTATGGGAATAATTCAATGGATGAAAAATTAATCCTGTTCACGAAAAATGTCAAGTAATAATAATAGTAAGTAATAATAAGTAATTTTCTAAATTTTAATTCTTGTAGATACTAGAACAATGTGTGGCGCAGCTTGATAACCAGATCAGGTTCCTTGTGGCTTTCCTTCCAAGATAAAACTATGTACTGACCATTTTCGAGTATTTCGGCTTCAGTATCATTTATCATTTTGCTGGTTGGAAAAAATAAGGCTGACTATGACTATAATTTCAATACAATTTTTTCGTTGGGTAATTATCCAAAGTCCAAAATCAAATCACCCCCCATAATTCATAGTGGCCATCAGCTTACCACGGGCGTATTGAATTGCTTTGTTTAAAAACTAAAAGATTTTACGGAACCTGACCAATAAAAAATATTGAGAGTAGCAATATGACAAAATATTGTAAACAATGACTGTAAGCAATGTCATTTTATAATACTAGGTTGGAATCTTACAGTTTTACCTGACAGGGTGCCTATTTTGGGATGGGAACACCAAAGCCACTTGTGCAAGAACGCATTCAGTTATTATATATCCACATTCTTGGAATTTAGTGGAGAAAATAAGAGCTGGGTGAACCATGGTTGACACATTTTTATCTTACCATATTATTCCCCTCAAATATATATCTTTGTTGTACGGAGGATGTAATACAACAATTCTTTGTATTTCATACTTGTTGCTAAGTAAAACTTATTCATATACCAAACCACAACCTGTTACCTGGCTACATGCTACTTGCCTAAGTTAGTATTGATTACAAACTCACTTTTGTATCATCATTCCTTGAACTTTAAGAACAATTTCCAAGTGCTGTACAAGGTGTAAGTTTGGTGCTTTAAGAATATTTTGAAGCACTTCACCTGTTATCGTGAAAACAGTATAAATAATATTAAACAATCGGATATAACTTGGGGATAGGATTCTAGATGATTGGCACTTAATATTTATCCACCAAAAGTTGCCAAATTATTATTAATCCGACACAATCATAATAGTATTAGTCTGTTTTCACAGTGACGAGTCCAGATGTTTTACAACAATGAAAACATTAAAGACTGAAATTCATGTTCTTATTTGCTCATTAACTGAAAGTAAAGTGTAGAACTGTAAAGAACAAGATGCCAATGAAAAAAGAAAAACAAAAAGCCACTTGCTCATATATTTATGCTATGCTCATAATACACAAACTATTCTTTTTCTTTATATTAACCCTTTCCGTGCGGTGGGCACGTATACGTACCCACGACAAAACTCGCTAGATTGCGGCGGGTACGTTGATGTACTCTACTGTTTTATTTAGCAATCGGTCACAAACTGTTGGTCTAGTTTTTCCGGGTTTTAGTTTATTGATAAGAAGTCTTCTTCGAGATTAACATAAGCGACGGTAAATCTCGCTTCCGTTTACCATGGGAATTTTATTTGCGGCGGAACGAGGGAGTGTTTTTGAAATTTATGCAAATTCCGGTGTTTTTTGGGTGGTAATAGAAGACATATTATCCCTTCCATCTACCAAAGTATTTTGAGTTAGATAACGAAATTGCTACAGCAATATTATGCTATTGTTTGCCAACCAAGAAGCGGTAACAGTAAAGGATTTAGCGAATATTTCTATTTTTTATCACGGTTTAAAGTTTCAACACCCAAGAAAAAAAATGCTTTTCTATCCGGTTTGTGACTCAGACCACCCCTTTTAAAAAAAAAATTTTTTTTCAATCGCCAATTGCAAGCTCTTTAAATAAGCTTTCCAACGAGCCGTCAGTGGGCAGCAGAGGATCATTACTTTTTCGTTAGTCGATCGATTAGTTGTGGGGGTACAAATGCATAGAGTCGGCGTAGCAAATACGATTATTTAATAAAAAATAAAAATCGCATGGAAAGGGTTAAGGTTAAAATTATATTAATGAATTAATGTGAATTGAGTGTCTTGGCATCAAAGATTATACATATCAAATTTAAATACCATGTTCCCACCTCACCCAGGGTGTAACAATTTGGGTAGGCAATGCTGAACAAGAGTGATTCCAGTCCTTCCAAATAATACAAGCACTTTACATATCAAGGTTTGATCTTTGAAATGATTATCATATGAAAAATAAGATATGAAAAGTACACGTTGCTGGTGTCACTAAAATGAGGTGGTGCTATCTATTCAGTTCATTTTTAATAAAGGTATTTAGTAATTATATAAGCACACTGAAAAAATCATCATTTTAGTATGCTGGCATTGTTGCTAGATGTAACAGGTTAACGGTCATAAGTTTAAACATTATACCCACCATCTCACTTAAAATGTAATAGTTTGGATAGGCAAAAAATGTTGTAAAAATTACCAACAAAAGTAAATTTAAGTATCACCTGATGAAGTGGAAACTGCAATGCAATGCAGTAGATGTGATGAGTTTGAATGTTGGATCAGTTTCCAAAGGGATGGGTGAAAACATGAAAGCTCAGAAAGCTTGAAATTTGATTTTGTTTCATCCAGAAATCTGATATGAAATACAACACATTAAATTCCTTAAAAGTTTCTAAGATAAAAAAGAATATTTAAAGTCAATACCGGTACATACTATATTTCTTTGGTGGCAATCCGTAAATATGTTTTCCAATTATCATACATGTTAAAAATAATCTCATTTTAATCACAATATGAAATGTTAGGATTATACAATATTACACTGTATTCAGTGTAAAATAGATGGATGACCTAAAGGCTATCAAACATTATTTCATTGCTGTGGATGAAGGTTTGAAGACCACTAACACTTCAAATATATGACCTAAGGCTTCAGTACTGGTTGATCTTGTTTTCACCTGGCCGCAAAGATATTTTGCCTCTAATTTGTTTTACTATAGAGCATTAATATATTTGTAATTTCATTATGTTATTTACTACAGTGTTTAGATTGTAACCATATCGATTTATATCTCGCTTGAAAAAATTTTATTATTCAACTTATTTCTGTTTGACTCTAAAAAGCTTGATTTTGACATACAATCTGGCTTGTTTAATAATGTTGATAATTAATCCAGACTCAGCTTGAGGTGTTGTGGTCTAGCTTTTTGATGCCATTATTTTCCAAATGTTAAATTCTCGAAAGAGATTCATTAGGTTCCATTGTGAATACAGAGGTCTACCGAAGGTAAAATGACTGTTACTGAAGTAGGCTACAAAGTTTCACTAACATTCAAGATTTCATATATTCAACACATTTAATTTTGTTTGTTGTTTTGTTTTAAATTTTTGTCCCAAGTGGCTTAATTGTCAAAAAATGTTGAGCTTTTGTTTCTCTGTATCACTACAAAACTAACTTTTGCAGAAATTATATCTATTCTGAATGTAGGATTCAGCAAAATGAATTTTTCAAATACTTCAATTACTAATCAAATTATTGAATGGGAACTGAATATTTGAATAGTCAATGTGTTAAATTGCAATTTTCTCATTCACAAAATATAGATCACATTAACATAAAAATATTGTTGTCTTATGTATGTTAATGTTGACCGCAACTCCTTGCATGTGTAATTTTGTTAGAAACGAAACTAACAACAAACCTGTTTAGTTTACTGCTTGCATTTGTGTCTGTAATAAGTTTTTCTTGAATGTCAACAAGTAATTCTTCCATCTCCCCAAAAAGTGGTGTAAGATAATGTATTTGAAACTCTTTTTCCCATTCTTTACGATTTTCCATCGTCGTCCAGTCTGGATATTGTTCTTTTGTCTGTAGTAAAATAGAGGTGCTTATGCAGTGAGAAAACATAGTTTTAGCAAAAGTTTCCTTCAAATCTACTGGCGGATAATTTTGTATAAGCTGGATCCATCATCAGGATTTTTATACTACTCTCACTTAAGACTTCCACCACCACCATCAAGTCTATGCAAATGCATCTGGAATAAATAACTGGATAATTATGCACATCCTAATATGGACTGTTAGCCAGACAAGTGGTAGAGGTACCCTTCCCTACCTGGCAAAAATGTGGAAATTCTATTTTTAAAACAATATTATGTAATAAAAAAATTCAGATTTGTAGATGATACTCACCATATTAAGATTTTCTCCTTCATCTATTATTCTTTTTAGAATTAAATGAAGAACCAAAATTCCATCATCAACATTTCTACCTAGATGCTGTGATAAACTCTCCAAATTACTCATCAATTTGTTCATCAAAAAATTCTGACCTTCCTTAACATTACTTTCACAAATCATTCTATAAATAAAAATAAAAAAGCATGTTATCGAGCAATATGAGATTAGATGTCATTCAAAATTTACAATGTTGAAAACTCATACAAAACAAGAATTATAAGATACTCAATAAAAGTATGCATAAACCAATTTCTTCAAGAAAGATGTTTCAAAAGATTAACAAGCTCACCTTAAAATAATATCAGGATTCTTATTCATGGCAAAAAGCATGCAAGAGTGTAATATGAATTGCAATGTTGCTGCGCCTTGCTCAGTAGTTCTATCTCCAGGATTGTCCACTCCTTTTTTATCATAATGAAGCTGATATCCGCATTGAGATTTTATACCAGTATCCATTCGTTCATTGCCTTGTGATTTAACATGGAAAGTGCCTCCTATTTCAACATTACATTCTGGACATTTTGCCACAATCCAGGGTCTTCGGCATTCGCCAATGTAATAGACATGGCCATTTGGACATGTGTAGGGTGCTTCATCCAGTAGTATGCCATCCATAGCATTGTGTAACGATTCAGGCATAGCTGGCCAGAATAAATCTGCAGTACTTGCTGGATCAGCAATCAGAGCAAAGGCTTCCTCTTGCAGTAGATATGGTTTGCAAGCAACAATGTGTATTACAAGAAGCACAAGCTGTTGGATGCTGCTAGCTTGATTGACTGACAATCCTGGTATAGATGATAGTTCATTCAAAACATTACATTCCTTTAAGAATGAGCTTGAGGGACATTGCCGATGCAATTTTGTAAACAATAATTTTTGTGCTTTGCTGTTTTTGCTATGTAAAATTGCCGAAATCTTTGGAATATTTTTGAGCATCAATACATTTTCCTTGCGAGGAAACCACCTGTCAAAATTTTCTTGGGTTTGCCTTGAATTTGCCAAATCCTTCCTAATTTCGCTAAAATCAGCATCATAGATTATGTAAAAATCAATTATTTCAGTGAACACATCTTGCAAATAATTCTTCACAATCATTTCTGTTCCATGTTTATCATCACAAAGACTCTTTAACTGTTGTTTGCCCCGCATCATCAAAAAAGTTTTGGTGAAAAATTTCTTTAGAATTACGGGGTCAAATTTATTAGATATATCGGCAAAAGTTAAAATCAATTTTGGAGTCATTTCTTCGATGTTCCTCAATTTATATTCATGGATACAATTGACCAGATGGTTTAGAGCAATTCGAAGTTGAGAAACATGCTTTATAATTTCAAAACTCACTGCTGTTTCTTTATTTTCTGATAAATGCTTCCAGGATTCTCGCAATAATTGTTCACTCCAATCATAATCATTTTTTACTGAATCCTGATCACTGAAAATATTTTCAAAACCTTTCAATGCTGATAAAAGTATTGATTCATTCAATAGTCTGTCATTTTGAAGCAACTCATCAAATTGTTTTTCAAGGAATTCAGGTGATATTTTATATAAAAGTTGAAAGACACTGCTTTTCAGCTCAATGTCAAAATTTAGTGCTGTTGTCTTCAGTTCTTTTTGTTCTCTAGAACAAGATGATACAAATATATCTTCAAAAATCCTTATTTTCTTCTCATGATCAGATGGATGTGAAATTTCAAAGCAAAAGTTGTGTAGGTATTCCAGGAAAAAACTTGTACACTTTTTTTGAAAAATTTTCAAATAATCCTCGTGAACCTTTGTTAGAGAAGGTGAATGAATGGAGAAATCTGGTGGTAAACTTTCCGGACAAAGAGGACATAGCTTTATTTCCTGCGAAACAGCTATTTGCGCACAATCTTTGCAAATGAATTCACCACATGGCATTTTGATTGGTACTTGTATTATTTTTCCACATGGTATGCATCCAAGGCTCTTCCAGTCCACCATGAAATTCAACTGCAGATTCTCATAACATTTTCTCAAAATAACAGATGTTATTTTCAACACTTCAATACTATTAAATCCCATTCTTTGAACCCCATTAAACATTCTCATTGCTTGTTTTACAACAACACTAACAAAGTTTGTATATTCTTGCATTTCATTGACATTGGGTAATAGATTCATCAAAAGCATATCGAGTAATGCAAGAGGCTTCCATTTCCCCTCCAAATCTTTTCTTCTTTCTTCAGAATGAGTTGATGAGATTATGGAATAGAATGTCTTTTTCATATTCGAAATAAGATTTAGCCATTCAATGCAACTTTCTGCATCATTTATTTTGCCAGCTTCACTATTTACCCAAGCCAATAAATCCTCAAGTGCCAACTGATGTATCAAAAATTCTGATGCCTTTTGCTGTTCTGTAAGCCACTGGTCAATATTTTTCCCAATGTCCGAACTTATTTTTAAAATATCAGAAATCATCTTCATTTCCTCAGAAAGTTGCATGAAAGTTAAAAATGTTATTGAAATACCATTCACACATCTATTCAAATCCAACCATTTTTGTTTCGAAATTTCAAACAAAACTTTCACCAATCCATCAAGTTCAGTCTGACTATTTGTACCATGCCTGAATAAAAATTTGACTACATCATAAGCATATGTTTCCATCATCTGTATGAATTTGTTAGCAGAATTCCACATTGAAAGCACTTTGACAATTTCTTTTTCAGTTGATCTTTTAACGAGATTGTAGAAAAAAATTTCATCTTTTCCACATCTTATGGATGAATCATATAAATGCATCAATTTCTCATTGATAACAAAGCTGAAAGGAAATTTGCAATCAAAATTATCAGTCAAATGTTTTGCTGTTCTTACCACAAATTCACCATTCTTATCACTGGGGATTTTCATTTCTATGATACTGAAGAGCTGTAGCCACAATTCAGTTCTCCATCCTGAACGATTCTCATTGCTGCTTGTAAGTAAAGAGAGATTATTGTTCTCATCTATAATGCTGATAACATACGCCAGCATATTTGCAACTCGTTGCTTCAAGCGAATGTGAATTGCCTTTCCAAACGTTCCACTTTCCTGCAATTTTTCAACAGAACAAGCTTCTGTGGTCAACCATTCCATAATATCATTGCTGTGGTGGCTTTCAAATGTAATCATCTTTTCAAATAGAATTTGTAAGAATCCTTTGCTAATATTTTCTAATGACTGACCAATAAAAAGTTGTTGAAGTATTTCAATACACTGCAGCTCTCTTCCATTACCATTTTCCTGACTTGTCAGATGTGACATTGACTCACATATGCAATCCTGCAAAAGACAAATTATATGGGACCGACCGTCATTGCTTTCAGTACAAAGCATATTTTTGCCATCTAACAAAATATTACCAATACTCTTCTTATACACACTGCTGATAAGTGTGGTATTTGTATTATTTTCTGAATGGCGCAGTTCATCAACGTATACTGCTTTGTATTTGTTTGTATGTTGAAGTATCAGGGTATTGTCATCATTGAATTTCTGATCAATGCCTCGCTCTGTTGACAGAAGGAACCCAATTAAAACCTTTTTAACCCGAAGGCTGTCTTCAGAAATTTGAGTGACGTTGTTCATAAAATGATGTTTTGCACATTCTACAAGTTTTCCATATTTATAAGCTTTTGAAATTTGAATTAGTAAGATTGCAACATTTTGTTTTGTTGTATCTTTTGAATTTTTCATGCATCTTACAAAAAAATCATTCAGCTTTTTTGTGTAGTCTTCTTGAACTTTAAACTGTTGCAATGACAGCAACATAATACTATTATCCACTAGATCAAGTTTGGTTTCCAGTTTTTTTCTGTCTTCTTCAGTCAGAATATTAGAGAAAGATACAATTTCAAAAACTTGAATTTTTGCCGGGCCATTGTTCATTGTATTCTGCAACAGATTAAACAAACAGTCATGTGTTTGCGTTTCCATATAAATCTGGAGTAGTTCTTTTTTTTCAGTACCACTCAATCTTGTTTTGGAAAGTCTAAAAACAGAGTCTGCTGTCGCAACATTCAACATGACTTTTTTGAAAATGTTAGTTTCTTCCATCTCATCATGAGCCAAAATTACTGAACTGGTTGTGTCTGGATGAAATCCCACAAATGCATCAGCCAAAGTGAATTTGTTTATTGTGGAAAATGTTTGGCACCATTTTTGAAGATTTTTAGACAAGGCACACTGCTTTTCGCTCAATAAGCTCATACCTACCAGGTGATGTTTTTCCAGGCGATTGATAAGTGCTATAGGATATCTGTCTCTCACTATTTCCTTCTTTTCAACTATGATGATTCTGAAATTATCATGTATGCGACTCCAAACTCTGTGAGACCCAAGACCTATGGCTACATAGTTTTGTCCACCAAATTTCACATACTGCTGATTCAAGACATCATAGAGTGATTCATGGATTTTGGACATATTCAAAAGTACAACTGTTAGCCCAGTTTCCATACACACTTTAATGCGATTTATGATTCTGCAAAACCAGGTGTATGAGTTATCTCCTGGAAAACTAGATCCAAACAGCACTTTTACAGAGGTATTGAAATCTGGCATAATGTGGTGTAATAGATTGACAGAAGAATGATCCGATGTCAAGAGCAAAAGAAAACGACTATGAAAACTTTGAAGATTGTCAGCAATCAAACTTTTCAAACTGACGGCAGATACAAAATCTTCTTTCAGTGAAAAATGTTTCAAAGCAGCATCTTTCAAATTTTGCAAATGTGCACAATCTCCTCCACTAAAATTTCTTAAAAGCATGTAAGCAAAATCTTGATTATTTAAAATGCGATCTTCTTTTGACATCTTGCAAAGCATTTTTATAAGACTATAATAATCACGCAAACCAAAATACAGGATATTCTGATGTTGATAAATATCAAGATATGTCTTGGTCAATTTTTCCAAGACTGAATGATATTCATTTGCTTTGTTTTGACTTCCTTCAAAAATGCCTTCAGCAGTACGAGAAAGATCATCTTCTCTTGGTACATTTCTTGAAACAAAGATTCCTCTGTTCATTTTCGCAGGATCCAAAGCCCAGTTTGATATTCCAATAAAAGCAACTTTTTTGTCCTCATCAAATTCAGTAAGTGTTCCACTACATGCACTTCCACATTCCAACAATGGATGCAGGATCTAGGCAGGATGAAATCATTTATTAAAAACAATGCAAAACAGATTTTGCGAAAATAAAAAGCATACACTCACCTTAAGAGGCATATTTGGAGAGTCCTCAGCGAGACCTATTTCATCAAGGACCACAAGTGTACCAAATTTACTTAAATCTTTATTCTTTTGGCGCTCTGCCGCACAAGAAAAAATTTTTTCTATTCCGCTTGCTTCAGTTAGAGCGCTGCATTGAAAAGTCAAAAATTCCACCTGAATAATAATATATTGCAATCAAATATAAATACCAAAAGTGAATTCCTTAATTTATTCAATGTCTAGTACCTTCTTTAAACTCCTATAAAGACTCGAAGTAGACGATGAACCTTTCATATTCGCTTCCACAATTGTTTTCGATAGTGATTTAGAACTACCAGGTTTTCCGACTAGATATAGAGGAAGCTTGGCATCTGCACAGATTGTCATGAGATACACATTTTCACACAGAGCTTCATTCCAGGCCACATTTTCCATACTTTTCAAATTACGATGAAATAGTGTTTGACAAGAAACGAATTCCTCCTTGATTTCAAAAGATGATAAATGGATATTTATTTGTTCCAATACATGAGACAATTCCATCCTGAAGTTTTGTCTTTTTTCTAAAGATACATGATATGTGATGTCAATAGCATAAAGAAGAGAACGTAAACTATCTGAAATATTGATTGTTTGAGAATCTGGCTGTCTGTTTTTTCTTCTCTTTTTCAAGATGTCTTGAATCTTGGGATAAATTTCTTTGTTCTTGAAAAACCACTTGTAGAGTTTTAGTGTTCTTTCAACATCTCGAAGACTTACATATCTAAAAAAAACATATTAAAAATGAAAACATGATAAATGCATTTTTAGACTGTTTCGTTTGATCAATTTTAGTTTTCCCACCTGCATTCATCTTCCTGTTTCTTCATATAAGCTTGAGCTCTCGAGAGAACCAAATTAATTGTAGCTTTATCTTCAATGGTTACCGCAAGTTCCGAGCTTAGCTTATCTGTCATTTTTTCAATATAAATCTGCTCTGTCTCATCAGATAATTGTCCAAAGTCCCAAACAAATGGTTGTATGCTGGGAGGGAGAGCAACAACTTTATACACCAGTGTACGCATGGCAATATTTCCAACACATTTATTCGAATCTTTCGAAGAAACAAGATAACCAAGCCCTGATGATTCCAACTTTTTAATAGCTTCAGGTGATAATTGCTTGTATGGGTTACATGCTGCTACAATCTGTATATTTGATTCTTCAAATGATTTTCCATCAATGGTCAAGTCACACATGACTTCTTTGATAGCATAAATTGCTATAGTTGTATTTGCTTCATCATAAAATAAGATTTTCATTTTGTTTGGTACCATGGTTGTATTATTCAGAGCCTCGTTGACACTTTTATGAATATCCTCAACTCCAATTCCCCCATGTATTTTCAAGGTCTGCATTTGATTTCCTTCCTTTTTCTTTCCCATCATTAAACTGTTCATGAATTCAATCATTCTAGTTTTTCCACATCCAGTTTCTCCCATGATGATCACAGGAATTTTACATCTGAATCTCATATATATAGCGATCATTTTGAGAACATTATCAGTTGTCAACTCATACGAAGGGTCAGGATCAAAAACAGTTTTAGAATCTGGATTATTAACTCCCATTATTAAACAGAGTTTCTTGATCATCTCTGTCCTTGAAAGTTTGTGAAAGTTGTGTCCAAGTTCAATACCTTGTGCACCAAGTCCAGCAACAAGGTCTGGGGTAGTTATTCCTTCCTGCACTAATTGTTGGTTTTTATCAAGTAAATTGCCATATTTATCAATGTTGACATTAATGAAACTCATAGAAACCCCGTCGTCATTGAAAAACACATAGGGATGCTCATATTCTTCCCATTTTCTACGTAGTTGATGAGCTTCAAATATATCCTGGTCATCTCCATCGTTGGCACTTTCGTCAGATATATAAAGAGAAGGTGTGGCAAAATCTTGAGACATCCTTATCATAAATTTCACAGCTAAGTTTTTCAGACCTTTCAATTCATGTTCCATCATTTGACAAAAGACAGATTCTTCACAACTGACAAGTTGGGTGTTGAGAAAGCTAACAAAGTGTTTCATTTGTCCCCATGAGGGATTATTCATTCCACAATGTCGTAATAGTACTTCAACACATTTTCCATAACCTGACTGATTTAGTGATTCTGAGTTTGGAGCGTAATTTTCGGTAATATCTTCATTTTTCTCATGACGTTGTAGATAATAATAAGGCCTTTGGAAAATATCTGAATTGAGCTCTTCAATATCCACTATAACTTTATTGTCAGAAATATGATTTGCAAGGTTCTTAACAACCTGCACAGGTGAAATGCACTCAATGCTTGGAAGAAGTTCCAGTGTATGAGAATAGCCAACCTAGCATAAAAATGATATGCTATAACAATAACCAACCAAAATTAATTCATTCGTATATACTTATTATCAATAATCAACTTACAGCACAGGATGGACGCTTTTTCATTTCAATGTAATATGAGTGCTCTTGTCGACACCTCCATACCTTTCCTGTAGAATCAGTAATCATACCCAAGATAAGAAGATCAAACATGAACTTTTCAATTCCAATTTCAACCTGTTGAAAAAATATAGAAAAATAATATTAAAACACAATATATCATTGATTTATCACAGTGCTCTTCAACCTTTTTGTTATTGTGGAACCCCTGATATAATTTTTCGTTTTTTATGGAACCCCAATTAACAAAATGAAAAAACAACACGAAATAATCGTAACACGAAATATTCGTAATTCAAATATTTCTACTTCAACAACAAACAGAAAGAAGGTTCCAAGCTTGGAATTCAATGACTAGGCTGTTCTTGCATTTTTTTTGAAATCTTCTTGAATCGTGGCTCCACTGCACTCAATACAATTCTGATACTCATGTCTACACTCTATAAACAACTCCTTCTTTTGTTTTTAATAGTTGTTGAAGCAGAAAATGCTGATCCACACAAATAGGTAGATATTTGTTCATATAAGTCGATATGAAGTCACTAACAAATCTTGATCAGTATTCACTGCTCCTAAGAAAGAATCTTTTTGCTGGCATGCGCCGCTTTTCATATGTTTAAAGTATGAAATAGCCTTTGAAAAAGTCTTTGTCATGTACGAAGGATGACTGGCTTCCAAGTGTCTTTGTAATTTAGCTGGAGCTAGTGCAGAATTAGAGAGTCTCTTAGACTCATCTTGCAAATTAGACATTCGGGCTGTGGAGCTGCATTCAGAATCTAGTCATCGGGCAAAAAGAAGCCATATTTCAAATATGTTTCATCCCATTTTCTAACTTTGGCAATTGAATTACATTTGTTTTGCTTCGAAGGAGGAGCAAGTGCCTCTTTTTGCATTTGAACTACTTTGCTCATTGCCGTCCTGACCTTCACCGTTATTACTGTTGCGCCTCACAAAAGAAAATATACTATTTTGCTTCATCTGTATTGACTAAATATTAAAAAGTTAGGTTTCACACTAGGCTATTTTTACTATAGTCCAACAAAAGCTGAACAACAACTCTAGTTTGTAGTACATACCTACTCTCTCTAGTCTCAAGCAAATATCTACATACTTTGAACATAATGTAACTATGGTGCAACAATAGCGTTCTTGTTAGTTGCATAACAATGACCAAAGTGACACAACAATCGAAAATATTTTTGTTTTGTCTATTAACTGCACTGTGACTAAACCTCAAGTTTAACGAACTGGCCTACTTGGAGTTTGAATGAGACACGGGTCTAAGAATTTATAAAGTATTGCATCAACATGCTAAAGCAAGAAATGATTCTCCCTGAAAAGAAAAAAAACGCGGAACCCCTAAGGAACCCTATAAACTCACGGAACACCACTGCATATATTGCGTAACCCTAGGGTTCCGCGGAACCCCTGTTGAAGAGCACTGATTTATCACCATGTTTATATAATTAATATAAACTTGCCAAAACAGACAAAACAACAAACTGTTTAAAATGTATCTGGTAATTCTCCTTTATTCAAATAGAAATTTACTCACAGCTGGCGTTAGATCGAAATGTATCAATTGATTCTGTTCATTGTGTTGAATATCCATGTAGAGTCTTTTAATAACTTTTTCAATATTGATATGCCTCTCCAGAAGACGAATAGTTGTGGTCGACGTGTTTTTTTCAACATTTTCAAAGATTTTTTTCACATAGAGTGATTTACCTTAAAAACAAATAATACAATTAAAAAAGTAACAACAAAATTTTCAAATCAAACTCTACAAATAAGAGCCAAAAGGTAGGAGGGAAAAGCCCGAGAAATGAAATTATTACTATATACTGGAAATTTAATTATACATTTTCTCAACAAAAGAGTAGAGGGAATTGGAAATCTAAGTCAGTTAGAAGTGCAAAAATATGGCCACCAAGTGCGAAAGAAAGTCCAGTGCTCCTCATAAATTTGTTGAAATCAAATATGGGCATTTACTCGAAGTTTAATGAAGTCACCAAAATCGCTTTGCCATAATTATTAACACTATCCGTGCCATAGAAATATATATACAAAGGCATGAAATAGTCAATGAATCGTATCATTCGAATTTTAATGTGATGGAAATAGCGTCTGCCATTCACTAAACTATTATTGTAACTTATTTATCTAGTATGGCCAGAGTACATATTAACCGCAGATCAATGGCAAAATTATATTGAGAATGACTGTTGCCATCTCGCCTGGTTTTAATTTCCTCCGGTAAATTGATTAAAGGATGCGGGAAATCAACTTATCAAACATGGTCAATTTGTAAATGCACCATAAACCGCATAATTTGTACCAAGTGGACAGACGGAATTAACCCACATGCTGTGTCACACCCGGCCAACAAAGATTAGATAATTTTCTATCAGCGGCATACTACGTTTAAATATAGCTAATGTGTGATTGCCAAATATATCAAAGATAAACACGAATAGTTTCATTGCAATTGGTTGTATTTCATTTTTGCATTTGTGTGCTTCAATTATGTCGCAGTAAGAAATCGAACGGGCAGAACACAACTCTGAATAGCAAGATGGCACAAGGATAAGGATTTACATATTTATCCCGGGGGGAGAGGAAAGCCAATTAGATGGTTTAACCATATGGCGAACCCCGGCCTCTCGTCTGGTTACCATCCCATGTCGGGTATGGGATTAGTTAGTTATTTGTTTCGAAAGCATGAAGGAAGCCGTAACCGACCAGCAATTACATAAACCACCCTACAGTGGCGAGGAGTCCAACAATCTTTTTGCACATAACCATCTCGCATGGGATTCGAACATGCGAACCCACGCAGAGTAATTAGAGGTGCGGTGGTGAGCGTATTCCTAACGCTTAGCACAATGAGCCACACCGCCGCGCCTAGCACTTCACCTATGAAATTTCAGCTCTACGACCTAATACCCAAAATGTGTGAAATAACAAACTTGAATATGAGTTTTTCTGTGTCTAGAGAATGATTGAACGCTAACTCGAACTAATCACCTTTAGAATTACCGTTTTCTTGTTGTTTTTCTAGCAAAGCAATACCACGATCAGTGTGATAATTGACATAGTTACCAAGAATTTGAATAAACATTCAAAATGCAACAAATGTAATTAATTCCGGTATTAACAGTCGCTATTGACACTTTCAGGATCAGAACTTGACAGCTAAGCATATGAATGCTCATATGAGACCACCGGCAGCAAATGGTTAAACGTTTCTGTTTGTTTACCAATACGTATTTGTATGTAGTGGTGTCAGTTAATGGCCGTTGCGCCTTGTAGTACAATAAGTATGCATTCTTTACTACGTTATTTATATATTACTATTGTTATTTATATTGAGTTTGGTTGTCATCAAATTATAAGTCTCAGTTGAAGGTTGCAATCTACCAAATAATATCGCTAAAACAGGTGGTACTTTTGCATGCGTTAATTAAACAGGTATGTTTGACTGATGACCTAGTTTGCATTAATTAATTCACCAATGCTTGATGTATCTAAGTGACCGAAAACTGATGATATCACTAGGTTCACCCCTTCTCCGAATAAAAAAGGAAATACGAGAGAGAATAAATAAGAGAGAAGCTCTCTTGTTTTAAACATGACACTCAATGGTAAAAATCAAAAACTTGACCATGGCAAAGATAGTGCTAAAGAAAGCAATATTTTAACTATAAACTTACCAACACCAGATCTTATAGATTGGACAACTTGAGCATAACGACCATTTGCAGAAGTGTCATTAGACATATTTGAAGATACATATTCAGAGAGTATCTTTTCTTCAAATGAAGGAATTTTTTCAATTTGGAACTGAATTAACAGAAAAAAGCTATAATTTTTTTTTACCTTTGCTGGAAAAATATATCTTTAACTCGCATGTGACTAATACAGGAAAAAACAACACACAGAGCTTTCTGAATTATGGCAAAAACGTAAATGGAGCTTGAACCATGAAAAATTACAGTATACTAATAACAAAAATAAAAAATAATTTTTTTTTTATTGGAAACAGGACTTTGAATACATAGGCAAAAAATGATTTTGGCTATTAATTGCAAAATTTTTTTTTTTATTAGAAATAGGACTTTGAATACATAGGCAAAAAGTGATTTTGGCAATTTGGCTACTAATTGCAAATATCTTAAAACAAAGATTATATTTTACATAAAAAACATCAGAAATTCTTTCGTTCACTTTATATCTACAAAATTAAAGCAATTTGTTTAACATGGTATTGGTATAAAATCATTCTTCACCTTATCAAAGAGAGCTGTAATGTAATGTTGAGGATCACTTGATATTATGACAAGCTGGAATTTTTTTCTCACATACTGGCCAGCGTGAGTTAAGAAACCATACATAGTTTCAAGAGCTTTTGAAACATTCAAATCCAGTTTATGTGCGCAAGCAAGACAAAAGAGTGGATCCGCTGCAAAATATAACACAAGATTACATTGTCAAATTCATTCTTATATAAAAATGATATTTTATATTATGAAGGTCAAATATCTTTCTAAAAAAAAATTTGTAGTTGATAGAGAAATGCACCAAGTTTAACAGCTTTTTTGAACTAAAAAAAATACAAAAAAGGATGAAATAAAAGTTGATTAAATACTGTGGCTAACAGATTAAACAAAAATAGGTCCATTTTAGCCCAGGGCAGATTTTGATCTAAAGTGCAGTATAGAAGAACTGAATCCCATTGTGTAATGTTTATTAAAACATAGTTTTAAAAGCATAGGAATTTTTAAACATGGAGAACTTTCTGATTTAACTTCCTATAGTAATTGAAAAACAGGGAAAATATAACCGAAAGTTTTGAATAAAATAATGATAGAAAAGTAAGTTGCTTGATTAATGAAACATCTTTTATGCCTTGGAAAACTGTTCACTGATTACATGTATATATGCTTTATGCCAGGGGTGGGCAAATATTTTTCTGAGTGGGCCGGATGCGAATAATAGACTCGATTACTGGGCTGGATGATAAAAACTCAATATGATCAAATTCGGTTCATTTGCAAATAACTAGGGCAAACATGGCAGATGCACAGAGAAAGTTGATAGAAAAAGAAGCTCAGCAGGTAAGCTAACATTTATATTAATTAAAGAAAACACAATGTAACATAATGAGGTCATCATGTTATTTGATAAATTCAAAAGTTGTATGCTATCAAGAGAGTAAATAAAGCACCATTCCCGTCGGTTACAAAAGAAATTATTGTAACCTTGGATTTCGAATTGACGACAGGTAGGTTTGCCAAATCAATGTGCTTCACAAAACACCAGTCTATCAGTCAAGCGCCTGTTGATTCTCAAACTTTTTTGTACGACTGCTGACATACAATACTGTGTATGTTAGAACCCCCCTTCCCCCCCAAAAAAATAAAAATACAACAAAACATCAAGTTACAAACAAATTTAATGCAAATCAATCAAGAAATGTCATGAGCATAGTACAATATATTTTTATTAAGATGGATGAATTTTAACAAGGTTTTTTAAATTTGAAGACGTTTTCATGGGGGGGAAATCTCAATTCATCATCATCATCATTCTTTGATTTGATTTGGACACTTTTTCACCAAATATGATGTTAGAAATGACGAATCAACAGTTCTACTTTGCAATACTACTATATTTTCGGTAGAAACAATCATTGCGATTATGCCATTCGACTTTTTCGGTGATGATGTTTTCGTTGTTGCGCAAACTATTCAGTCCATGGCAGATACGATCATTGAAATTGCCTCATCATATTCATTCAGTAATTTACAACGAAAATTGCCATAGCGCCGAGTTACAATAAATGAAAGTATTACTATTCTGAAATAATTCATTACGATAAAGTAAAAGCATTAAAACTCTAAACTAACGGTAAAAAGACGTTGCACAAACAAAATATTTGGGAACCGCTGAACTATGCTATAGTTTGCGATCAAAAAGTCCAAGTTCATATAGTTCACTGGCATAATTCCAATCTTCACGGCATAAACACCCATGTCATGTTGAAGAAAACAATCGGTGATTTTAACTTATATTTTCTCACCGGGAATGCGCATGTGCTCCCTGACACCCTGTGTCTTATCTCTTTTACCCCCTTGGGGCAATATCGCCCCTTTGAAAATCGCTGTACCAGACAAAAGGTAAGAACATGTGTTGGAGCATTCACAAACGCACGAAAAAATGTGCAGGCTCAAATGCTGATATATCAGGAGCTAGGGTTTTTGAATGCCGTAAATACTGTAATTCATAAATTGATGATTGTGCATATTATATTTAGGTGCTTATAATAAGAGAGGAATTACGGTATTTGCTTTAGTCAACAATCTGTTATTGATATTGTCATCGGAATTTCAATTTATAGCATCAATTTTTTAACAGAAAAATTTTTAGGCATAAAAACTATAATTGCACAAGTGGGCAGGATGAAACACTCCAAAGGGCCTGCGGGCCGTAAATTGTCCACCCCCGCTTTATTCCCAGCGTGTCTGAAAAATTATATATTTAATATCCTATGACTACCACAATTTCATAATTGTAACCTTGTTCAATAACAATTGAGGTTACATATTAATCAATAAGTCATAAAAAAGTCAAAATAAAATATTATTTATAGGTGAAGAATACATTTCCTACCTTCTGAAGGAATTATAGTCATTGCCCGAAGCATGAATCTTTCAACTTCATCTACAGTTGTTTCTTCAGAACATAACAATACTTCAGGGAAAGTTGGTAACTTGGGATCATTTTCGTCAGTTGCATACAATGATATCAGTAGCGGAATGACTTCCTGTTCTTGACATAATAAAAAGTTTGGAGATCCTTTTATTAAAGTAGAATGTGCATTCCTCATAGTAATGCCTGCTTGGCCCTGCAGTGCATCCATCTTACTATGTAAAATAGTGAGAAATTTTCCGAGATGACTGACACTTAGATAGTCTTTCAACGTTAATGTCTAAAAGTAAATAAATCTGATTCAAGACTCAAAAAAAACTGAAAAACGTTGAAATTTCAGTTCACAGTACTTCACAATTGGAATCAATCAATCAATATTTAAGATAATTTTAGTATAGCTATTTGGAATGCAAGACAGTAGTTTGTAAACAATTATTCTATTCTGTTGTATGAATTTTAATTTACGAGAGAAAAGTATAGTATTATCCCATAAATAATCTGCTTGCTTATGTGAAGTCACATGTTTTGAATTAAGAAAGTCTATGTCAAGTGTGACAAATTCATTGTTTCATATGTGTAGACTGTGATCGTGAAAAAAGCAACCTTATTCAACATGAAACTAGTTACAACAATGAAATATGGTTATATAGATAATTTCATCCAGCTTTACCAACTTTTTGAATCGAGGATCAAATTGAATCTAAATATAAGACCAATAAACTCGTTCTGAACTTCTTGAAGAAAAGAATAGGCGCGGCGGTGTGGCTCAACGGGCTAAGTTTAGGAATACGCTCGCCACCGCACCTCTAACTACCCTGCGTGGGTTCGCAGGTTCGAATCCCATGCAGGAATGGTTATGTGCGAGAGGATTGCTGGACTCCTCGCCGTCGTTGGGTGGTTCACGTAACCGCTGGTCGGTTACGGCTTCCTCCACCACCAAGTCCATGCTTCCGAAAACAAAACAATACAGTAAAACTAATCCCATACCCGACTTGGAATGGTAACCAGACGAGAGGCCGTGGTTCGCCATATGGATAAGCCGTCTTATCGGCATTCCTCTCCCCCGGGATAAATATGTAAATCTTATCCTTTATTACTATGATTGTGTATAAAGCCACTTAATCATGAGACTCTAAACACAAATATCATATCAGTACCATAGTGCTGTTCAAATATCCCAAGCAAATGGTTTTGATCGAAACCAGAATATCATTCTTCTGCTGTTCACTTTCTTGAAGCTTTGCAATTATACCTTCCAAAGTTTTGGCAGATCTACTTTGAAGTATGGATCGATCTTCTTTTATATCATTCTGATCATATACAAAACCTAAAAATATTATTGTAGAAATATTCAATTACTTTCTATTTTTTCAGATATAGATTTTTCATATTTATAACAAAATAAATAAGAGACATATCTGATAATACAACTCAATAAAGAGAAGTTTCCAAATTATTCCACCAATTTAAACATTTACCAGTTTCAAAACTACCGTAGTACTGTTAGCCTCATCATTGAGTTTTGACTAAAATTATTGGCACCAGTTCACTTTTAAACTAAAATCTACCTGAAGTTTGATCAAAAGCTTGACTGAGTTCAAAAATTATATTCTCATCATATTCATGAAGTAACATCCAATTAGAACAAGCATTCAAATCAGCAAATCCTTCTTCTTGCACAGCCGCTTTGGCAAGTGTTTCAGGGACATTTTCACTATTCACAAGAAATCGTACAGCTTTGCGCTTTTCTCGGTTTTCGAAAACTTCCTTTGTTACGTTGTCCTCTAAATTATTTTTATTAATCAATGTAAATAAATTGACGCAGAAAGACAAGAGTTCAACTAGCAACAATTCATATATGTATAGCCAAAACTTTTCTCTGTGAACTTATTCAGATCAATTTTCGTTAAATAAATATATTTTTACACCCCCGAGTAAGGCAAAAAACAATTACTGAAATAACTGAAGGTCTGATGCTACCGGAGAAGTATTCAGAATTAATGTGTAGTAGTCTGAAAAGTTTTTCAAAAAAAAAATTTGTGGGCTCGATCTCTCATTTGCTCATTTTTACGTATTGATCAAAACAGATTTGAATAGATTGAGGTGTGTGTACTGTAAACCCATATTTGCTAGCAGCTACACTTCAGTCATAATTTATGCTGTTTTTAGTAGCTTTTGGCATTTGGCATTTTGACTTTTAGCTTTTTTTCAATCAAATTTTTTTTTCAACTTGCTCGAGAAATATATAGCAAAAAGATGTTTGTAACAAGTCATAATTGTTACTGTGCTGATACCCACCTGATTCATCATTCACTAACTCAGTATTGTTAGTTTCCTCGTTGGCATCATCAATTTTCATTGCCTCATTTAAAGATTCTCCAATAATACCAGTCATTTCATGACGTTGTAGATCAGACAACATCACATAGGTCTAAGAAATACACATTTGTCACGAAAATTTTGGGACAAACTTAAATACACTTATGACCATCTCTTTGACAAACTTTTTTTGGATACCCAGTACTCAAAACGCAGCTAAATTAATGTCATATACTGGTTGTCTCAAAAATGTTGCATCCCACTTGTCCCAGGTGTCCCACATGCTCCATGTGTCCCACTTTTCAATATATTGTTCCTTTTGAAGTGCTTCCAGTCAAAACCTATTCTCTCATACACATTTCTATCAATATCATTGAAGACTTTTGTTATCTACACATTTGAGATTTGTCCAGATCAGACATTTTTAATAATAGTATTCTATTGCCTTGGTCAGAGGACATCAATATTTAGGCACACTGGCACATATCATAAAATTTCAATTTTATATCGATTCAAGATTACAACAATATAAATAGAAAAATCTAGTTAAAATATATTTAAACAAAGTGTTTTTGAAGAGTGGTCAAATAAATATAGATTAAAACTGGCCCGTTCATTGCTGACGCCTGGTTTAAAATAATCTATCGGTACATTACTCCAACCTACATACTTATCAATGCTGTGTGTATCACCCGATAAAAACTCGGTCAGGTAGCAATCCGTACCTAACATTTCTACGTTAGAAGTTACAACTCATGTAACTGCAAAAGCAAATAAAAAATTTGCATATTTATATAGCGTTAACAGATAGGTTTCATTGTATTGGTTACGATAATAAAATAATAATTTCTTATTAATGCTAGGTTTTAAATTTACTTATCACAAGGAAAGCAAATCAATGGAAGCGCAGCATCTACGACTACCTGTACATTATATCGTCTATTTCAATCCATATAGCAGGGTTTTCGTAACCATTTCCTGTGGTTGTTAGGCAATATCCGGAATCAAAAGTGAATAAAGCATACATTTAAGGTCAAAGCAGGATTTTTGATAATTTTGAACACAAACAAAAATCCCCACTTAGCAAAATTTCTTCAGATAAACATTTTTTTGCTTTGGAACGAAAGGGTTTCAATAATAACAATATAATCGAAACAAGTGGAACATTTAAAACAAGTGGGACACATGAGACAAGTGGGACATGTGTGACAAGTTGGACACATGGAACAAGTGAAGCACATGGGATAAGTGGGACACGTGGGACGCAACATATTTTAGACACCATAATATACTCCATCAATTTGAAGCAATTAATAGGTAGTTCTAGTATGGCAATCCATTATAATATATAAATTTTCATTAAAAGTAAAGTGTGATCTAAATAAATATTCGGACACAGTTTTAGTTACAATATTGCATCCCAATTATTTGAAATAATGTTAAAACAATAAACAGGTTAGAAAAGTGATTAAAAATGTTGATGTTGTTGAATGAAGTCGGAATGAGCCCTATTTAATATTCAAAGTCATTGTCTCAAACTACTTAAAATTTTTATTCTATAGATAAAACTTTGTGTACAGTATAACGCCACAATGAAATTATGAATGAATGAATGAATTTGCCAAAATTTTAAAGTTTGATCATCATGGACGCAGGCACAAGTCTTATCCCCTATTGTAAAAGGAACAAACTGGAAGGTGATAGATACATTTCAAAAACATATTCCTACTGTTTTATTCAGTGCAGTGATAAGATTTATATTCATAATCAGGGCCAGGCATACTCAGATTCATTTTGCTCACTTACCCGATCTTCCAACCCACATTGTCTCATTTTTCCAAGTTGTTGACACAAATATTTTATTTGCTGAATACTAAAATCATTCAAATAATAATGTTTCAATCTCATCAATTTTACATGATCATCCCATCTGAAACAATGAATGCAAATATAAAAAAGCGGAGAGCTAATTGAATTGATAGTCTATATTTTAAATAATTAAAATTCTGTAAGCGGAAACAACCATTCAAGTACCAGTACACATAATTTCGAATTCTGTATTTATTACATGCACCGTGGCATTGCACTACTGAAAACCCAGTATAGATTTATAATAGGCTTCAAATTTTGTATTAGATTATTATGGGGGTTTTACCTAACAGATGGTTGAAAATGAGTTTTTAACAGTCCAATGAAATGAAAGGATACACAATTTTCAAAGTCAACCCAAATAGACAAGATTACTGCATTTTTCCATACAAAAAATGATGATCATAAATCACCCTGTAATTGGTGTAGTATATCATTAAACAGCTATGTGACAAAGTACTTATAGTTTCTTAATTTAGGAAAAAATAAAATAAATAGTTAAAACCTTTTCAATATATTCTTTAAAATATCAGCCAAAACATTAATGTCTTGTATGCTGGCCGTTTTACCAAGTTTTTGGACTTTTTGGACTTTTTTAAATGTTATATTCAAAACTAGTATGTGTTCTGTCATCATATCCGTATCTTTTGATGGTTTTGAACTGAGAACAAAATATCAAAATTAGTTTATAGACTTGGAGTTTTAAAACATCTTTCATGATTAGCAGTAAGGAAATTTAGCAACTATAAAAATTGCATAATATTCAGAATAGAAAGTTAATTGTTGATAATCAAATACCTGGTGGTTATTCCACTCATGCTGAATGACAGCCTATCACATTTTAACTGCAACATTTTATATTATCTATGAGGAGGGAATAAATATTTGATAGCAAAACCTTGTCTTTACCTAATAATAGCATTCCAATCAGTAAATAGCATGAATCCTGCATTAACCAAATCCACATAAGCCTGCGCGAGATTTTCTGTTGCATTCAAGAGTTGTTGAAATTGTAGGACATCTTTTTGACCCTCAGTTCCATCTCCAGATATTAACATCAATTTAGATTCAACCTCATGCAAGTAATCAATATCCACATCTAAAATTTTAAGATCAAGTTTTATCTTTTTATCACTTCAATACATATCCCACAAAATTTGTTGAGGATTTAAATCACATAATGGATGATTATATACTAAAATATATCATGGTAAAATACTTATTGAACAACCAACAAGCCACATGTTGTTTGACACCAAACGACAGAGCAATTAAATCATCAAAATAATAAAAATAACCGAATAAAAAATGAAAATACCAAACAAAAAATATTAGAAAATTAGTAGCAATTAATGATTGAAATTGCACTGAAAAATACCCTGTTTTATCACATGAATCTTTAAAAACTAATAAAATTTTTATGCAAAATGGAACAAAAAGTAAACTGAACATTCCAGCTGGTTATAAAAACAGAAGTCCTATATGAATTCAAACAATTTTTATAATTCTCTTATTTAAAATTAACAAACATGTAGTGGTTTGAAGTTTACATCATTGATATCACAGAGATTGATTTCTAGATGTTTCTTCAAGCGTGCACAAGTTGAAAATATGATATACATTAATGTTTTCAGAATTTCAAGCAGATATATTTAATCCTAGGAATTAAACTGCTTAAGGAGGAAAAAAAAATTAATCATTTTTATTGCAATTATTCTTACTTTTTTTAAAAGCATTCATCCGGATAGCATTAACTTCATCATTACCTGTCATAAAAACGCAAAAACAGACATTAGAGATAATAAAATGAGTTTATCAATATTCACAAACTTCAATAATAAAAAGGTTTAAGATGATCTTATTGGAAATTCTAAATGCACTAAATAAATTACACTTCAGACCTGATACAACAAAAATTAGTATGTAGATGGTAGTTATTTTCTACCTCAATGAATTTCTGAAAAAATTGGCAGTGAATATGTGGTTTTCATACAGTTGATTGAAACAAACTAAAATTCTTGAAGTTTCAGTATCATTATTTAAATCTGCTCAAAAATGAGAAAGGAATATATTATTTTACCGTCTCCATTTGTTTCAGATGGACCTGATAAATCAAGTTTGATGCTTTCTTTCAATGTTGCAAAGTTGGAATTTGTTTTTTGTAGATTACCAATTGTATAAACACCATGGTTGTTTACTTCTTGAGCATAACACAACACAGCTTTTTCCTCCGAGCCATACCATTGTTCATTTGCCTTGTACCATTCAATGTCTTTACCTGAGTCTGCCTATTGGTTGAAAGATGAAAGTGACACCAATTTGTACATACTAAATTCTATCACAGTAAAATATAATTGGGATATAGAATTATTACTATGGGATAAATGTATTTATCTCAAGAGATGAAGAAGGACAATGGAGTAACATAATTATTTGATGAGAAACTTTCTTTATCTTTTTTTGAACCAAAGAAGTACTCATAAAAATCCTAATATTAAATCCATGCAGGTTAATCAGCCATGACATTAGGGCAGCACAATGTGACAGAGTATATTAGGCTTATATGACATACGGATGAAAATAACTGCGAAATGAGCAGAAGTAACGATTACAACAAAAAATATACAAATTAAAAAAAAAAATCATTTTTACCCATTTACTCAGTAGAACACCATCAGATTCAACATTTTTCCAAACGGTTTTGCATCTTCTAAGCAAGCCTTTTAATCCAGACAATTTATCGAGATGAAATATCAATTTTTCAAATCCTGCAACACCATCAGAGAGAAACAACCATTTGTCAGCATACATAGGTTCATGTCTCGTTGACTCCATAGCAACCATACAGAGACCTCTAACATCAGATTCATCTAAATTTTAGGAAAAAAATATTTTAATAATGACAAAATATTAAAGACATAAGGTACGTAATTTGATTTAATGCCTGCCATATTACCAGTCATTTTTGTCTGCAGCCATTTAATTAATTCTGCTTGTTTACTGAAAGCTTTCAATACATCCAACTGTTTTTTGTTAATTTCTATGACAGCACGCAGCTTTTCAAAGTCTTCAACTGATCCATCCTGGAAGGTTCCCTAAAGCAATATTGTAAATACATCAATACCACTTAGTTTGTTATACATACAAACAAACAAAAGCTAAAAATTTCAAGCCTTATGACCAAGAATAATCACACCGATTTGAAATATTTTAGTAGAGGAAGTTTTGATTGCCACTCAATCAAGTTTGTAGAAAGTACAAATCTAGTAAAGCTTGGATTAGAGTGCTATTATTATTCATAAAGTCAACAGGTACTAACACTGCAATTGCATATTTTATGATGAAAAGTAGACATGTCCAGTCATATATACTTTTATACATTTCATTACATCTACTAATGTCTACTACTTCACACTGGCTATTTTAAAAGATCAGATTCAGGTATTTCCCTTTCGTTGTGCATGAAATATTGTAAAGTTGAGAAATGAGAAAAATTTAAAAATGAGAAAGAAAGAATCAACCAGAAATGATATTATTTGTATTATATTTTAGTCTAGCTTCCTAATATCAAACCTGAATAAGTGCAATTACAACATAGGAATAGGAGGCATGTAGTAATTAATAATAAGTACGTAATTTGCAGTACCTAAATTTTATATATATATGCTATTTTAAATATTTGCATTGTATAGTAGTGGGAATCTAAATTGGACCAAGGTTAGCATTAGCAAGAGCACAAATGGCCCAGTTTTGCATCATACCAATGTGATTCAATAAAGTCTTGTTTAACAAAACTCAAGCTTAACACAGTACTTCAATTTAACTCGTCAAATGATTTAACAGTTATGCTGGGGATTTGAATACCCAATTGCATACTTTATTTATATAGATGCCAAGAAATTTAGAAATAAACATTTTCAAGAATGAAGCCCAGAATGTAAATTTTAAAACCATTAAGGTTTGTATTTATCCAGAGATATCAGCATAGGCATCACTACCTAGAAGTTTTGTAGCAATTCCGCAGCAAGATTATTGATCATCAAAAACAGTGTAGGGTAGGTCCCAAACAAAAACCCAGTGGGACCTTGTGGGTCACAAAAAAGGCAGCAGTACAATATGTACCCGTTCAAACTTGTTGCGTACTATTAATCAAATTAATAGTGAGTAGTTGATTTGCTACACCCAAGGAGCCACAACTTATAAATTAAGTTTTTTGTGATTGACGGTACCTAAAGCTTTTAGACCAATAAATGTTTTACTAACATATACTTTCCTCTTCAATTTATCATACTTAGGGTCATATTTAAAATTACATGAGATGGGCAATTTTTGCCATGAAAACCGAACTGTGATTATAAATTACATGCTTCATAAAAAAATCAGTAGCTTATTATAACTTTGATAAACATATACTTTGCCTATAGCAGTATAATATAAGTTTGTGTTTTGTTTTTCCTGTTTTAAAGAGGGGAATTCATTTGCCTAAGTGAAAGTTTGAATATTCCTAATTGAAGTGTCATTGGTGCTGGATTCACAAATATGAATTGATTTACTGCCTTACCAAGAAATATGTTAAATTCATTTATATATATTGTTGGAGAATTCAACAGGAAAGCTTGATTCAACCAATGACATTAAACAACATGATGCGCAACTCAGGCATTTTTGGCCGAAGATCGTATCCGATAGCACGCTCCAATGCACATACTTAACGAGACGAAAACGAGTGGAAGTGTGCTGCTTTCAAGGCATAGCACTAATGGTGTTCGTTCCTGCTTTGACAGTTGTTGTCGATTTTAATGATATATTGGAAAATTGAATGTAAAAAGAAATCGGAAAAAAGTAAGGTAAATACTATTGTTGTATATCACACCCGGGCATTGCACTGTTAAGTACATGTGGGAAAGCCAGCCTTTGTCAAATACTACGAAGTTATTAAATCAGTACGGTACGTAGTTGCCCATTTGCCGAAATTGCATATTTACTTACCCCTTACGGTTTCAAATAGTTCATGCACCTCCAATTAGATTATTTTTAATCAGTGAGGATATATACTCATTGCTGTAACATACTATTGCTCATTCACTTTTATTTGCGTATTGAATCAAAGGGTTAACAAGTTCACCTAACATTTCACTCATACCGGTCTATATTGTATAGTAATTTTCTGACTAAACCCCTTTATTAGTTGGTTTATATACCAAATTCAGTAAAACATTTTTTACATAAAACATGAGATATTGGATTTATTAGCTTTTCCAATCTAAATCATATAGACTGCTTTATTTATTCTTAACGAAAATTATTAATCTCCTCTCTTTCTTAGATGTGAAAGTTGTGGAAAACCTGTCTAAGCATTGTGGACTCCTGCAGCACAAGAGGCAATAGCAAAATAGAAGTATATCAATCAAGAAATTAAGCCGACATAAAGCAAAACTTTCAACTATTCGTCCAACCTCAATTTCCTATTATTTATTCACAGGACAACTGTAGCAGAAGGGGAGATATCAGAAGTCTGGCGACATATCAGTGACAGTGTGATTCCAAGAAATACAATCAGAATACTCCATAAATGTTTGCAATAGAAGAACAACCTATGGAGACATGCAAAGACATTTGACCCTCCGGTAGAGTTGTGTATGGCCCCTACATCCTGCAGGGCTTGAGGAAAATAACTAAAAATTCCAAAGCGTAAGATTGCTTAAGCGGTCTTATTTGTAAAAAGGCACAAAACATGCCAGACATACTTAAAACAGCTTTGGAAAATGAGGATTATGGGTCACTCACTACACCTGTGTTATATTTGATTCATCAACTTTTGGTAGTACTACTAAAGAAGAAATTCAGGAAAGGGTATAATCATGATTCATGATAAAATACTGTTTATATTTTGGACAACTTCAATCTAGACCAGGGATATCAAACTCGCGGCCCGGGAACTTCCAGTGCGGCCCTCGAACGCTTAACAATAATTGTAATAGTATTTTGGAGTTTTTTTTTATCTAAGTGTAATAGATTTTTCAACCTTTTAAAGTGAAATTGAATATTCACACAGAAAGCAATTTACTGAAAGTAGTTTTGGAAAATTAATTTTTTTGTTCACATTTTGACCCAATTAAGAATACACATCAAGCTAGCAAAAGAATACTTGAATAAAACACTTGAGTGAATAAATTAACGCAAAGTACATGAAGAAGGTGGCATTTTCGAAGAAAATGGGAGTTGCAATATTTCTGCATTTCACAAAATTTTGAAGCACATTGTTTAATTTGTCATATTTCCATCAGTACAATGAAAAAACACAATAAGCTCAGCAGTCAATATGACAATTCGAAGACCAACTTCGAACAGAAAATTTCCATGTGTTTGTATATTAATATAAATATACAACGACTTAGTTACTAAAAATCAATATCAATAATAATTCAAGCAATCCTATGCCATGCAATGTGCGCGAAATGTCTTGTCGAAAATCTGTCATTTGTTTTTTTTACTGATCTATTCATGAAATGATAAAAGTAACTTTTTTGCATTACTGGAATTAATTAAACATTCGCAAAGATCCAGCTTAACCCATGATCATGTGATCTCGTTAGTTAGAATTGGTACTATAAAATCATTTCAGCCTGGCCTTAGTATGCTGGTGACACAAAAAGATGCCAAACGTCAGGACAAATGTAATTAAAAAAACATTGAGTTTATACTGTAGTATTTTTGTTAATTTTAAGTCCATATATTTAGATTAAGTCATTTTTAGTGTATGTATTATTCTTTCCTTATCCAAAGCTTGTTCAAAAATGATTTTGATGGTTGTATATAGAATTTTATGATTTTTTGTAATAAATACAGTAACTTGCAATAATAGTGGAATGCAAATATTAATATGTAATTGCATTTGAAATTAAAGAAAATAATAAAACTTAATCCAACTGTTTAGTTGCATCACAATATATGTCACAAACTAAAACTATCTGAAAAATATCTTTCAAGTATACATTATCAAAAAGTGTTTGCCCTTTTTACAATTTCCAAAATGCAATGCGGCTCTCGAAAACCCTGAGTTTGACACCACTGATCTATTCTAGACGATTCAAGCATTGCTTTGGGAAATAATATCACTTCAATTAAATTGAAAAAAATCTCGCTATATTAATACAAAATCGTTGCTATCATAAAGGTAAACCAATTCAGCCACTCGGAATATATTGGCCTTCACAAAGCAATGGAGGCAAAATTGAGAGTTCATGAGCTATGAACTTTGTTCTTTTCTTTGTCTTGAACTTTATATACTCCACAGCCCTATTAATTTTTTTTTTAATTTTAATTACCATGTGATGTCATAACATATCTTTAACTTGTATTTTCTGTCATGATGTATTATCTCAATGTGTCAAACTTTTAATTAGTGTGCATATTTTGCTTCCAGATGACATAAATGTACAGTATTGTCTTGTTTATTACCTCAGCTTGGAGTATTGACAAGAAATAGGCTCCCGTAAATTACGTGAAAAAATTTTTAACTCTTTGTTATAATCAGAATTCACAATTAATAGGAATCATAAACAGCCAACAATCAATGAGAATTATATGCCAAATCCCTCAGAATAAATTTGTCTTCTAAAATCGGAGGAAGGCAAAACACATATAGGTAGTTTCCATTCATACAAGTCTTTCAAGAAGACTTGCTCGAGCCAAACTAAATGAGGCATCGTCAGATGATCGGTAAGTCTGTCAAGTTGAATCAGTCCGTGCAACCTCCTGCATAGAAGATAATATTAATTAGTGAACTTAAATTCCTAAATTTAGACACAACCTATCTACGAGGCATTATGTACCAGCAATGTTACCTACGGTTAACTAAATATGTAATATATATGTCTAATAAATTAACCTACTAAAGCATGTTCGATAGGTGCAAACTTTGTGTTATGGAATTGTATCACAGCACCGTTAAGAGAAGTAAAAACTCTCTTTAAATGAAATTTCAATGTTTTAAGCGCAAACATTAAAATTACTAACTTTGAACTTTGTCATTATCTGCAAAATGTTCCACACAAATCTTTACGCTATCGCGTTTGTAATCTTCTCTGATAAAAAAAAAACGTCTATGATGTCCAGAATTACTCTTTACAGCTTGTCTGCCATTCCAGCTTCCCAAGTGAGCAAAACTTCTTAGATATAGAGATTATTTGTTTTCGTTACAGGCGCAAAAAGGCAGGCACTACACGCAAAGTAGACGCCGAGTAGCAAAAGCGAGCGGAAAACGGTCGCGAAAGGCGACGAGAAATATGTGCATTGGAGCGTATCATGAAATACAATCTTTCGCATGTAGTCTTATGGAGTGACGTCAGAGTTGCCTATCATGTTGTTTAATGTCATTGATTCAACAGAGTAAAATTACTTGTACTTTATCTTGATTAATCAGACATTGGAATTACCTAAGTTTCCCCATTGTCAATGACAGGGAGGTATGATACTTTATGATGTATGAGCATGATTGACTGTTGGCATGCGATATGGAAAAGATCAGTGATATCTGATGATATAACATACAAATTAAGTTTCATATCAGTCACTTTTATATTCATTTAATCCTAAAAGTGTGGGTGATAAATGTGTTACCATCATATGATTATGTTATAAAAAAAAATATGGTTATAGGCAGTGTGCATGTCAAAATATTCGGCAATTTGAGTACTACTTGATGCTGCTGGTATATCGAAATAACAATTTCCTACTATCATAAAATGTTCTAAACATGCACTTTAAGGTAGTTATCAAATATGCAAGTGCAAAAATATCATTAATTGGGAGGCTTATAGTTAATTTTAAGACTAAACTTATTTACTATGCGTCAGGTTCATTTCAGACCATAATTCTTCACAATGGGTAGACTAGTGGGACTTAGATTAGTGGGTAATCCCTTAGTATGTGTACCAGATTGGGATTAGGCCATCATTTTATTCTGATTCTCCTAACTTTAGTTCTATTACTTTCGAGTTCGGGGACTGTCTGTGTTAGCCAAGTGAATATACCCCCTGCCCATAGGCTTCCATCCCTTCATAAAACTTGATTTAAAGTAGTCGAACAAAATTAGTTACCTCCTTATTGGTACACATCCTTCTGGAGCGCCGACTAGGGATTTTTAAAATGCCCCCTATGAGTTGAAAAGCCCAATAGTGAAAAAATAGTGGGCAGTAATGTGTTCTTGATAAAATTGGTCAAAATTATAGCACCTCTGTCATATAATGATGCCATAACTTATCTTCTCAAATTTCATTGAGCATACTCCTAACCACCCATTTTACACGAGTACTTTTCTAGCTGTTTGTCCTTTTTTATATGAACCACCTGAAATTTATGAATGGCACTGAAGTCTCCTTTTAAGTTATGACTTTTCTGAAAATCTGATATCCATTGAATTGTCTCCATGCTCCTTTGTATTTTAAAGTGATACGCAATTTGTCTTGCTCGAAGTGTAGACTTTTTCTCAGAATCTGCTTCTAAAAATAATTTTGACATTAAATCTGATTGAAGACATATAAAATTTCAATCTAATTTGTATTATTATTTTTTTTTTAAATGTTACTTCTAATATTTTTGACATGATAGCATTTTTGTAATTAAGGTTAATTCTAAAGGTTCTACGAGTGGTAAAATTTATGGCTTTTCCATGTAATTTCCACATATTCTTTTCATACCTTCAAAATATTTATAGAGAACAAGAAGTTCACACTTTATCTTTGCCTCATCTCCATCAGTGAAGTCCAAGGTATCAAGTAAACATTCCTGTTTCATCGTTCCTGGAAAAAAGATCATAGAAATTACTGTAAGTCATATCCGTTGCCCATAGAAACATAAGCGAATTAAATTGCCCAAAGAAACATAAGCGATTGAATTTATTCAACCTTATACAGATTTAACTGCTGTAATGTGTCTTAATTCAGACCGTGCTTATTATTTATTGTTTATTCTGCATTTGTATTTAAATAAAATGTCTTTGGCACCCACTTTCAAATACCAAAACCAAGTTAAAATATGACTAAAATACTATTTTATATGCTTTAGAAATATGTAAAATTGCCACCTTCATCAAGTTGAGAGCAAAATTTACTAAGCTCTTTTCTCGTTTTCTGCCACATATTGTTCAGTACATGACGCCAATCAATGTTCCATACACTATTTGTTAGAGTGGATTTTTTGCCAAGCATCACATTACCAAGTTGTTGAAGTTTTGAGTAAAGTATTTTACTTCCCTAAATTTGAAAAGAAAAAAATCTTTATAGTGGCAGCAAAATGGAAGCTTCATAGAATAAACAATTTTAAACAAATTGAATATAAATAAATTCATGGTCGATTATCATTTATCTAAAATTTTTATCTCAAATATTAAATTTATGATTGGTGTAAAAAACAGATTACCCTAACAGTATAATTAGCTAGCACTCGTGTTAAAAAAAATATTCATCTATATAATTTTTTTAATAGTGACAAAAATGCAAAACAATAAAAATTAGTAAACAGTAAGGTAAATTCGAAAAAATCAAACAAGACAAGAATACTCAAAGAATTCTCACAATTGCTTAAAATTAGAAAAATAGTTTGTATGTGTGGCGTGAAGTTATCAAGAAAAAAAAGACTCATGGTGCAATTAGACACAAAAAAAGATGCTGCCTGCAAGTACTCAATTTTGTGATCGTTATTGTCTACTTTATGCCTTTCAAAGTTTGAAACATGTAGGCCTAAAAAATAAATGCAACAGGTAAACTATTCTTTCTTATCCATGCCTGATTTTCTTTTGAAATACTAAAAAAAATCACTCATGTTTGGTAAACACGGTTCTGAAGATAAATTAACTGCAGCTCGTGTCCATAGAAAGGTAAAATGATTTTATTGATTCTTATACTCAACATTTAAATAAGAAACAATAAAAAATTGACAATAATACCAATATGTAAAATATTCAATCATAATAGTTATGTTTGACGCATTTCTGTAAACTTTCGATGCACACTTGGAAAATTGCTCCTTTTGATGATTCTCGATTGATCGATTGAATAGTCAAGAATATAGAACTGACAAAATGTACCTCAAGTTGAGCCACATCCGATATACAAGACATTTCTTCATCCGATATGAAATCGTTATGAAGTTTTCCCAAACATAGTGAGGATCTATCTCTATTACAAAGATCCTCCAATCCTACACAGTCCACTTTAATCTCTGAAATATGATAGCAACATTAAACAAATTTTTCTTCTTTGCTCTTACAACATGTTTTATAGGAATTCTTTTCACTCAATATGTAGTTTCTGGTTAAACATTAATCTCCACTCTACATAGTTCATTGAAAATTTAATGGTTGTTGACAGCGATATCAATGATTCAGTTGCATTTTTGAGTTAATTTCAAATAAATTAGATTGATTCTCATAAACATTGTTTATGGTTTAAAATATAAACTCAACTAAACCAAAGAAAACTATAATATTTGTGGTACTATTGTTCTTGTTAGAACAAAAATCACTTTTCTGTTCAAATAACAATAACTTTCAAGTTGTCAATAGCTAAAGTCGTTATTATCATCATTGGAAACAATCTTCTTTATTCCAACTGCAGAACCAATAGCTTCTAATTTACCTCGAAAATCATATAGTCTTTTATTTGTACAGAATGTTGTTTTTAATAAAATGCAGCAAATGGCTTGTTCAAGGTGTTGATAACTAACCTTTTCTGAATGATTTACATAAATTTATGAAAAAATACAACGACTTGACTTTGTCATTGTATAATTGGATTGTTTTTTTATATGTTGTAAAAATCATTCTGAATTCCATGTCTTTCATCTTATCACCAACATGTGCCGAAGAAGACCGAGGTTGAGAAGTCTGGATTTGAAATGAATTGTTCAAGTCCATAATGTTTCCATAACAATATCAGACAAAATAAAAAATGAATTGTAATACTTTTTCTATTGAAATATTATTCGTGAAAACTGACTAGTATTAAAAGAATGTTATACAATTTATCACAAGAGCAAAAAAATTTATGATAGGATCACTTATCATACTCACCTTAATACCCCTGAAGAGAACAAGTAGTTCTATTATTCTTTCTTCATGCTCAAACATCAAATCAAATTCTTCTACTGTTATTGGTGTAATCTTTTTTTCAATGTCAGCAAGAATACATTTCATCACATTTGCCACTTTTTCCACGCATTCACATTGTGTAGAACGAAATCTACCCATTATTTTAACATCATGGATATCTATGTCAAAAATTATAAAAATAATATAAATATTTTATTGTATGACTTTGAAATTAATTATTATGAACTTGCCAAGGGAAATTCAAGCCAAACAAATATTCATATTAATTCGAAATTGTTGATATATTATATATACTAAATGAAGGAAGAGAAAGTTTATATTAGATATCTCATATTTTAAAATGAATGCACTTGACACTTACTTCCAGGTTGAAAAATTACTCTTAGAAAATATTAGATCTTACGGTGTTTAGCATTAATATTAATATTATGCCGTTATAATGTTTAGCACTAATATTAAATAAAAGTGGGTTTAAGAGAATATTTTGAATTTTTTGTGTGGTAATAGCACCCCGATGATAGGCACACAAAATACTGTGATATCCAAAATAAAATAAGTCATTTTATCTCTTGAAGTTTAATTCAGAGTATAGTCTTATTGAAACACATTGAGATATTTATCCAAAAGAGCATTACTGAAAACTTTGAAGAATCTTAAAGGAAAAGGTGATCTTGACAAAAACTCCAAAGCTGTCTTTCTGATACTTGAATCAATTTTCTCATATTCACTAAATCCTTGCTCAAAAATTTTTCCAATCATTTTTACTGATTTGTCATTGCCATCACGAAAATAGTGCAATAATGTGACAAAGAAAGAATGATCCTGAAAAAAAAGAAAAAAGAAAAAAGATAAAAAAAGATACTCTGAAAATCTCTATAAATGGCATACAAAGGGTTATTAAAAATTAATATTACCAAATGAATGTGCTTGGTGGGTAATAATTCAAAACATGTTTCAATTTACAACATTTTGTATTTAATGTATTTGTTTATTATCTCAGCACAATTAAGTTACAAATTGAAAAAATAAAGGATTTATTATAGGAACTGATTACAGTATCAATACGATTTGTATTGATTCATGTCAAAGGAGTTCTTAAAATGTAAGTAGAACTAGCTATATAAGTACTTGAATATTGTCAAGAAATTTTCTTGAAGGTCAAATTAATCTCAGAAACCCAACAGTGGTACTTATTCAATCATGAGGGAACACTATCAACTTATTTCAATGTAAATATATGAACAGAAAAATAACTATTTCTCTAATTTGTAATATGTAAACATAGAAAAAATGTAAGAAATGCAGTAAAAAAATTATATTTCAAATTAAAAATATTTGATAATTTGTTTATTTTTCAAATTAATCATTTTTCAAAAATGTTACATTGTAATAGATCATGATGGACTACATCTTATACAAAAATATTACGTTGGCACCTCCATTGTTTAACAACTGTGAGTCATAACACTGAAAATTAATAATAACCAAATTAACAATTTTTTGGCCTGGTCAAAGTACAGAATGCGGTATAAATAACACTCACAGTTTGCTGATACAATACATCTTTGGAGTAATGCTCTGTCCTTTTCTCTAGGATGGAATCCAAGCACTCACACAGCTCAATACCTTCCAAGCCAAAATAAAAATTCAAAAAGCCTTGTCCATTTTTTGGCTGACTCCATTCCTGCAAAGTTATTGTTAATGTGAGATATGGCTATTCTCCTATTTTGTGATTAAAATTTCCAAATAAAAATAGCAAAATATGCATCTAAGACTAGAAATTCGTAACTCATCATGGCATGACAGTAAATATTGTATTATACAACACTAGCCAAGCAATGAAAAAAAACTACAGACCAATCACCTTATTAAACATTGACTATAAAATGGCATCCAAAAGTATAGCTAATAGACTGATTTATTAAGAGAAAATATATTGGCAAAAATGTAAGATTATTTTTTAATATAAGAGATTTATTAAAATGTAAAGGTCTTCCAGGAATAACATAGCACCAAACTTAGATATAGAAAAAGATTATGACTCTGTTTCATGATTATCTTTTCCAATTATCTTTTCCAAGTGTTAGAAACTTTCAATTTTGTTCACATGTTCATAAAGTGGGTCAAAACTTTGTATTAGCGAAGTCAGAGTACTGTTATTAATATGAATTAAATGTCAGAAAGTTAAAAAAGTTTTGAGGCAAGGCTGTATGTAGTCTCTCACCATATATGTTTTTATTAATAATTGAAATATTTTCATGTAGAATTCGACAAAACCATGATATACAAGGTATATGTCTCGAAAATATAGAAATTAAAATTTTCTTGCTTGCAGATGATGCAACAGTGTATTCTGATGGCCCAGAAAAAGGTATCAAAACAGTATTTTTAGTAACCGATATTTGTTTATACCATGTCTCGGTGCAAAATAAATATGAGTAAATGCATTTTACCTGGGTGAAAATATTAATTGCCAAATGCAAGACCGAGGACTTCAGTGGAACCCTAGCTGTTTTAAAATTTTGGGCATTAATGTGTGCAAAAACAATACTGATCTTTTGACTGTGGACCTTTTGCCAAAACTTTAAATAATGGAAGTGGTTGCACAAATATGGCCGAAATAAAATCTAGATTCCCTCAGAAAAATCATTGTTATTAAATCTTTAATGTTGAGCCTATCTGTTTGTGTTGTATCCATCTTACCAGTATGACTGCCCAATAGTTTTATAATGGAAGTAAATAAGATATGCTATGAATTTGTATGGGGCTTGAAATAGAAGAGAACAATATTTAATAAGTTGATTGCAACTGAAAAGAAAGGGGGGGGGGGGAGGAGGTCAATATGCTCGATGTGGAATCATTTTTCATTGGTCAAAAATTAAGATGGGTTAAATTTTTAATAAATGACAAAATTGATGTCTCATGGAAATCCATAGTTTTTTGTATGGAGGAAATGTTAGGTTACATGGGTCGCAACCCCCGTTTGAGAAAATTATTGATGCGAAATTTTATCTACGAAAAAGCAACAGCGTCATTTTACGATTGCCATCATGGTTTCGCGGTCAAAACGATATTATTCCGTGTGTTATCACCGTAACGCAATTAACACCGCCAGATTTTTTCGTCTTCACGATATGTTATCTTTTTTTATTCGGCGCTGATAATGATAAATAAGAATGTGTAATTGTTGATTGCAGTTCCGGAAGGCGCATTTTCCTTTCTCTCCATGAAACAGACATCAAACGAATTTAACCGCCGTTATGGGCGATCACGAGGAGAGAATGGTTATAAGCTAATTTAAGGACTTCCTTTTCCGACTCAATCACTTTTATTAATACTAATCACAGCGCATCGGAAAGCAAAATAAATTTTATTAACATTAATTTACAACGAGTTACTGGCAAGAATTAACCGACCCTATCGCTAACAGGTAGAAACGATAAATGTGAAGCAATTTCACATAGAGCGTGTCAACACCGTTTTTATAAATTTAGAAACATCGAAACAGATAAGTGGGACAAGTAAATAAATGTATTTTATGGAAATAGAATTTATTAACATTAATTTACAACCGGTTACGGGTAGGAATTAACCGACGGCTATCGCTAACAGGTAGAAACGATAAATGTGAAACAATTTTGCAAAAAGGGTTTTTATAAATTTAGAAATGTCGAAACAAACAAGTAAGACAAGTATATAAATGTATTTTAGGGAAATTTCTCGAGATATTGGAGAGAAATATTATTTTGACCACGTATAAATGCCATTATGCCCGATTTATTCATGTGTTTAGTATCAGTGTTTCAACCCAAAGCTGAGTTACGTGAATACTCAACACTGAGTATTCAATAGATCACTAATTTGCGGAGTTTTTTAATTATTATTTAATACGAAAGCAAAATGGACACGATTTAAAATTAAAAGCATAGAAATGTCAACTATCCGCTTCACAAATATCGCATCAAGGGGTCAATAATAATAATATTGTTCGCTTAAAATTGGGACCACGATCTATACACTGTGATGCAAATCCTACACAGAAGATAAAAATTGGAACAAAATTAATTCGTGTTGTGAATGCACTAGTTGTCTTTAACATCTTCGCCGATGTGAACTCACAATTCTGTCTGAAATATAAAAACCAAACTACGATATTTGCCATAGCGTGAGAATTAATATTTGCTAGTGAATAAAAAAGTGATTTAATATAGTTCAACAACATTAATTTGGAATGTCGGTAGCCGAAACGATCGCGGTGACAAGAAATTTACTACAGTCTTCGATTATGACAAAATTATGAATTAAAAAACGCCACATTGTTTCGGAGTTTTCAATATTTTAGTAAAATCCGAAAAAAATATATTTATTGTCACGGCGATCGTTTCGGCGGCCGACATCCCAAGTAAAGTTGTTCAAAATGACAATATTAATTATTCGATGTTCGTTGAAAATATTTGAAGAACTCGATTAGAAAAATACGATTTTGCCCGCCATTAATCACGGCGCATGTAAATAATCTACTACTAAAAACTATTTAACAATACATTCAAAGTAATAGCTTCTCACATCATGAATTTGATCGGCGCTACATCCGAGAATGGTTTTGTGCATATAAACCATTATGACGCTACTGACGCTCTGCGAGTTATAGTTCTCTCCAAAATTAATTTTCGCAATTTCATGTCAATATTGAACTATTATGAGCTCGTTTTTTTAAAGTGCAATTGTATTCAAATTATTAATAATAAAAATAACAGTCAAATCAATTTTGATTTTTAGAATTAAATATTTCACTAACACTAGAAATAAATGAGAATGTCAAGATAAATGTTGTCAATAAAAGACTAAATCCAAGTTCAATTTAAAAAAAGTGTTGGTTTGAAGCAAAATGAAAGTTTAAAATACTACTGTCAATGTTACAATATATATCTATACACTGTTGTTTATGAAATCTACTGTAAGTTGGGTTCCACTTGTAAACAGCTGCAACTCATCTTTAGACTTGCTGGTTCAGTGACTCGACTTGAGTTGGAATCTAATGTTCAAAATTTCTTGGGCTCATAACATGGGTCAACTTTACTTGCAGTCAAAAATTGCAAATGCCTATTTCAACAAACTAGATAACAGTTTTTGACCTATTTTGCAGACCACATGTGACAAATGTGATAAAACTCATGATGAGATGTTAAACTAGAAATACTTCTATGATTTTAAAATGCATCGTTTAGAACCTTTATTCCTTGTACATACTTTTTCCAAATATGTATGGCAATTCTGAACATTAAATCATTAATCATATTTATAATCCCATAAGTAGAATTTGGAATATAATAAATAATATGTGCAACCATACCAATTATCAATATTCTGCCGATGGTATTGAAAATGAAGTATATTAGATTCCATTAGTCATAGATTCCTACACAAATTGTGCAGTTTTGCTCATGAAAAAATGGCCATAAAATAACTGTATTCGTGAGCATAGTTTTTTGTTTAAACTGATTAAACAATTAAACATACCTCATTAATATTGTCTTCAATTTTATTTTTTATATTAGAGATCCAGTCATCTTGAAAACTGGAGTAGGCCCATCTTACTTGTAGAAGATCATTGTAGAACTGAAGAAATAAGATATTTTGGTAATAAGGGTACAATGTACATAATATATTTGCAATTTCCTATTAGTTGATCTATATTATAAATTTGAAAGGAAAAATAACTCATTATATATTCTTTTATATGCTGCTCATTTAAAAATGCTGCAGTAGACATTAAGTTCATTTTACAAGTAACTAAATAGTGTACTTGGAAGCACAAACAGTTACCTTCATTTCATTTGCATCAATTTTCAAGCGTAATTGACTGAATTCTGATATTCGCAATTTTATTCCATCCCGAATGCAAGTGAATGAAGCAACAATATCTGGCTTGAATCGTGTCATACCCTTCACAAAAACAACAGTTTTTATTAATTTAAACACTATCAAGTATCAATATTTATCTGGCATCATATGCTCATAGTTAGAATAGGAATATTCAATAATCCTGACAAAAATAACATACTTACCTGTATTGCAAAGAATATAAGTGACATAGCCTACATTTAAGTAAAACCTGGTCAATTTGGAACTACCGGTATGTTAACTCTCTGTCTTTGATTTTAGAATATTGAATTCAAAAGTTATTTATTTATATTGATCCCTGAAATGTAAACATGCAGCAAGTGTTTATCGAACTTGGTCTCAAGACATACGGTAGGATTTACATATTTATCCCCCAGGGAGAGGAAAGCCGATGAGACTGCTTAACCATATGGCACACCACGGTCTCTCCAGTTACCTCATCAGTTAGTTATTTGTTTTCAGAAGCATGGACCTGATGGTGGAGGTAGCCATAATCTACCAGCAGTTATGGGAACCACCATACGACGGCGAAGCCTCCAGCAATCCTCTTGCACATAACTATACCCGCATGAGATTCGAACCTGCGAACCCACGCAGAGTAATCAGAGGTGCGGTGGCGAGCATATTGCTAATGCTTGATATTATCTAATGATGGAAGGCCATTGAAAACCATCAGAAAAAGGTTTGGACCAATAATTGAGCCTCGATGAACATAAGGAATTGAGCAAATCTTTAGATGAGTTTTACTTCCAAGGCCATCAATGAGGGAGCAATATCAGATTGAAATAACACCATTGTGCAATTGTTAAAGACAATATTAGTTATTCTACAGAAATCACAGGATGTGTGGAGGAATTTTTGTGCAGCAAGTTGACTGTTTCTACTTTGAATATTGTTTTTCAGCAATATTCATTTCATTCCACAGTTTCCGCAACATATGGTAGAAAAAAACAGTTTGAGGTTTAAGCTGGTATCATTCTACTAATTTAATCATATTCATTACTCAAACCACAAACACCACTTTTACTGCTTCAAACAAATGCCCACATCAATCTGTACCATGTCCATGATTTGTATCATTTTCACAAAGCATGAGGCATGTATGTGCATAATACACTTGTTAGTGTGATCATTATTTTTTCAACCTCCACACATATTTGAACAGAAATAAATTGAAATCTTGAAAATCAATTAAAAAAAACTGGCAACAGAAAATAGTCAGTATTTCGTACTGTTTATCAATAATATGAACTTTGGTACCACGCAAAACAATTATTGGATTAGTTCAAGCATAAATATACGGTACTCCACATTGGTGAGTCGGATTACTGACTTGCTATCACCATCCAGTTTTACCAATCTTGAAAAAATTTAGACCAAGAACTTTGAAAAGATAAGAGATTCTGTTACTCGCTACTGGGACTTGTAAAAACTCACATTCTTTTATGTTCACATTTGGCTGCTAACAATAGCGAACACAATTTGAAATATGTCATTTAAAAACACCAGATAAAAACTAGCAAAGTTTTTACTTGAAACAGAGTAAGAAAAAGAAGTAAAAGAGCAAGAAATTAGGATGTAGAAAAGAGTTTATTTATTCACAATATAACAAACCATAGTAATAGAAAATACAAAGCAATTCATGACCTTAAGATCTAAATCACCAAATAAAATAAATCTATCCCTCACTTTTCCAATAAATTATTCTTAAACGTGAAGTGCAGATAAATCCTATTTAATGACCATGGCACAGTGTATAGTGCTCTGTAAATGCTGCAGGTAGAATACATGGACTGCAATTGGTACAAAGGATGTGAAAGGTGTTCTTGATGAATGATTGACTAATTGTTAAAGAGTTCTATATGCTTGTAACATGAGTTCTACATGTCTGTAAGTATTCTATATATTGTATGTACTAGGCTACTGTATACCAATACTTGGCAAATGCAAACTTTTAATAGTTTCTGAAAAACTTTAAATATGATACAATCTTATCTAGATTATTTTAATAAAGATACCATGACTGTAGCAGCTACACTCCGAATATGCACCAACTCACCATGTTGTCTTCAATCGATCGATGATGCAAAACAGCATGAATTGCCATTCTAAGAACCCAGAGTATTTCCATACACTTTTTATCATCAAATATATGACAATCAACAAGTTTTTCCAGAGTTTGGCTCAATTTTTCCAGTATGAGTGCAGAAGAACTTGCGAAGCATTGCAGATCATCCAGTGGTAGACTTGAATAAATAATTGTGTTTATTATTATAGAATAATATAATTACTTTTGAATTTCCCGATTGGCTCAATGTGTGACTTATCAGTAGCGTTAGAATAATTAATATCGCTACCGAACCTTTGATTAACCTACAAGTTTGTTCGTTTGCAGGTTCAAATCCCATGCAGGGTAATTATGAGCAAGAACCTAATGCTGGACCATGGGATGGTTCATGTAACCGCTGGTCGGTTGTGGTCTTTTTTCGCCCTCTAGTTCAGACATGGGCAAATTATGGCCCGCGGGGCCTTGCTTTGTAACACTGTAAATATTGGTCATAAAATGTAACTGTTTACGTCACAATTACATGGCCCGCCAGTCTAGGTCGGCAAAATTTTTGGCCCCTGGTTCAAAATCCTTGCCTACCCCTGCTCTAGTCCATGCGTCTGAAAACAAATAACTAGCTAACAAATAACTAACTGATTCCATAGCCAACATGGTCTGGTAATTGAATGAGAGACCGTGGTTTACCAAATGGGTAAGCCGTATTATCAAATTTCTTCTCCCTAGAGAAAAAATTGTAAATCCTATCTTATCTTAAACTTTACCATTGAATGATTTTTACTTCATTACTACAATGATTAACTCAATTTCCAAGCTAAATAATAGTTGAATTGAATGAAAATAGTTCAATGATTTAACATCGGAATCATTTAAAAAAAGAATAGTTTTGACTTGGCGTTTCAATATACGTAATACAATCAGATATGTTAAAAATCAATACAAATCATGAAAAAAATATTGAAGTTTGCATACTATCTAATCACAAATTATTTTAAGAAATGATGAACAAAACCTTAACCAGCACATCACAGCAGTTAGGTGCACATTGCAACTAAGAAATTTTGGGCTATATAAGTCTGATTATGAAATAAAAATAGTGTAATTTTGTTTTCAGCCAATAATGGATGCAGCGTTATAGTCCAATGTTAATGAAACACCATTATCTCAATGCATTTAATTCTGATGACAAAATTGATTTGGATAACACAAGTTGAATAATTAAACAGCAAACATGTTTTTCATCATTAATGTTTTTCAGAACAGTGTGTAAATGACACTGCAAGAAGCATGATATATTGCTTATAAATTTAATACTTCTTTATGAAGTAATGATATGGAAACTGCCACAGATAGGCAAAAAACATGTCATGAAGTATTATAAAGAATTAATTGAACAAAAGTAGTATACCTTTTCAGAAGTTCTGGCTGCATTAATTCGTAAAAACGAGCAGAAAGATAAAAATCAAGTCTTAAAATTTTTGCAGTATATTCCTGAATGAATACAAAATAATATAGGATATGTTATTCTAATAAAACAGCATAAAAAAATAACTGGCCAAATTCAGCTGCCAGTAAATGACTTTCCTGCCATTAAAGTAGACTGTGAAAACTAGTTATTTGAGAAATTCTTTCTGTAGTCCGAGTCGTAGTAACAGTATTAGTCAAATTGTGTTTCCAATTTTATATCACTTACTGAAATTTTCTTTGAATATGAGATGGGATTAAGCAAAGGCAAAATGTGATGAAATATAGAATCGAGTTGAAATTTGTTGCTCCAAGAAACGTTATCCATCAACAGATCAATAAGTGACGGTGAGGTCAAAAAATATTGAAAAGTGTCAACAATCCATGGGTGAACTTGTGACATAGCTTGGATAGTCTGATTGAGTTCCTTCAATTTTCTTCATTGAAAGCAAATAGCAGTAAATATCAATATTATATATATTCGTGTATACAAATCTTATAACAAGACCTGAATGATTAATGAGAAAATATTATAATACCCTGTGAAGATGCTGATAACTAACACTTGCAAAAAATTTAAAAAAAATGGAATTATACAATTCATTTCATAAGGTGGTTGAAGTGCAAGTGCCAGTGAATAATCTTACTTCAAAAAATATTATTCCATACAAATACAGAATTGAGAGTAATAATACAATTACTACTTTACATATATCGTACCTTTGCTTTTTTGAATCTGAAAAAATATTTTTATATTTTTCCCAGGAGGTTTGTTCCAAATATGGCAGCATAGCTCTATATGAGAGTAAATCGGGTGTTCTGAACATTAGTCGGCCTTTGAAATGTCCTGTTTCAGCAATAAGCCAGTATAACGGAAGAATCAAGATAGAAGAACAACTAGACAGCATTTGACCACTGCCAAGAAAGTATTGTAAACTTTTGCAAAGTTCATGAAGAGGATGACTTCTAAAACACAAAATATTCACTTCAGTTATTAAATACGCTCGACAACTCAATTACGATTATCCATATATAAATTTGTTTGTTTTGACTATAATAAAACAATAATATTTTGTTTTCATTTTCAAGTAACAGGAAAGTGAACAAATACCGGTACATAAAATGGTGAAAAACACAAACCCTTCACATAAAACTTGAAACTCCTTTTTTATTTCATGATAAAAACGTATCTGAGCTTCTTTTCCTAATCTGCACATATTCAGTCCATTACAAAGAGTTGAAAACAGCTTATAGTTTTGGGTGACATGATGTTTCAAGTATAAAGCTCTGATGATGGCTATACAGCATATAATATTCTTGAACAAATGTATCTCAACACCATCTGAAGAAGATTTCTGAACTTCAATAATCCATTCCTCTAGCATCAGTTCAAAATCCTGTAAATAAATTTATATCCAATAATTTTGTAACATTTTTCATTCAAACTTTAAATAAAATGTATACGTAAACTTGGAAAAAGTAATAAAATGGGTTTTTCATTCAAAGAAAAAAAAGTCTGTAAGAAAGCATATTCAAGTGGTGGCCCTCTGAATTAGTCAATCCTTCCAAATTCATTTTGATATAACAAAATACCTCCACATAGAGTCACATCTTAGAAGTGAGATAAATATTAAATTTATGTTTGTTCAAGAATTAATTCTGTATCACTTTTACATATTATTATAATTTCCTAATCCACAAACTTTCAATTATTTTGAGCCTATGTGGAATACTGAAACAATTTTAAACCCTAGTAATAAAAGTATTCTTTATCTGCAATCACAAAATTTGAAAATTTCATATAATATGGCAAAATAGTACAAAATATAAAATTAGACTGAAAAATTGCCCATTTGCAGTAAATGCAGCCCCAAAAAATTCACAAGTATCACCTCATTGGAGCAAATAAACTGATCAACTGAAGATGAAATTTTCCAGCCAAGTTCCAAGTTGTGAACCCAATGATAGATCTCATCTTTGATTGAAATTTTCTGTTGCAATACAGTTTGTACAGATGGAAGATAATTTCGGATATTTTGAATACAGTTTTTTACCCATGTATCTGAAATCCACGATGTTTTTGAGAAACTAGCAATGTCCTGCACAAGGTTGAAACCTGAAATATAAAATAGAAGCACTTTAATATTCAATGTAATGATGAACATATTAAAATTTTAAATAAAAAGGGAGTAATTTGAAGTATTCTATATTAGAAAATATCTAAATTGAATTCATTTCAAACAATCTTACCAGGAGTAAATAATCGTTGACGAATCTTTGTTGTCTTTAAACCAGGTAGTTTTTCACTTCCATATTTCTTTTTTTTGGCTGTGTAATGATAGACATAATCCAAATCTCCATTTTGAATGACAAAAGTATTACTATAATAACCATGTCTAAATAAAATAAAAATTTGAGACAAAAACAAGGCTTTAACTAAAGCAACAAATTTCAAATTATAACACTTTACTTGTGCTTTATCATTTCATACAAACGACCATGTAACTGAATCCACATTTTTACACCAAACTTTGACCGAGGTAATTCTGTCGGAATTACTCTGAATTCAACAATGACTGAAAATAAATAAAATAACAATGTAAAATAACTTTTATAATACAGTACTTTCATGAATCATAACAATAATATGTATCTAAAATTCTATTTCTTAATTATTTACTATTTTATTTTAATTATCGTCAGGTCTCAAAGCATAAATCATCTATACAAAAAATTTTGTGAATTGAAATATGTATAATTTAATTGAAATGATTTATATCTATATTTTCTCTAAATCTAGTTTAAATAATTCTTCACAGTCAAATAATTCTTTAATCAAAGACAGAAAAGCAAGAGTGTAGATCAGAATGATAATATCATGAATTATACCAATGTAAAGATATGTAAATATTATCAATCCCTAAACAAACATAAATCAAGATTTTCCACCTCCCTATAATTCATTATTACAACATTTATGTGGTAAGTGTTCTAATATCCATCATCGAAAGTAATATATGACATCCAAGTCAACATTTTCATAGAATATTATTGCAGCAGTAATAATGCTTACATTGTTGGTCTACAGTTGTTGAATTTGATTTGTTCGGAATATCTTCAAAACTCGGGGCAGTAGGAATAATTGAAATACCTCGATCATTCGAAAACAACATTTCTGTAATTTTAGGTAGTCATTCATCAATTTGAAAAAAAATATTATTATTACTTATAGGAACTCAACTATTTGACAAACTTCCCAATTACTTGAATTTCTCTAAAATCTAAAACCAAATATGAAATAACTTTAAAAGTAATAGAAAAGTTTATCTCAATTTTGCAATTATTTTACTTGTTTCATGAAACTTCATATATACACAAAATTTGGTTGTACCTTGTAACTTGTGAAAAAAGTTTGATTCATATTTTTTCATGTAAATGACACTGACTTCAGTCAGAGGGTGTATTTTACAGTCTTTTCGATGTTGCCACAAAATCAAACCATTTTGTATTTTGAGTGTGACATATGCATATTTTTGACAGAAGTTCTAATTTTAGTACCCATTCTAATTCTAAGTACCCATTTGATGCTGTTCCATCACATCTACTTCTGAATACTCAAATAAATCACCATCATCATCATCATCATCATCCTCATCTGACATCGTATCTTAAAAAATAATGTAACATATAATTTAATTTAGTAAAATTTTGTTTGAGGATCGATGATACCACATATAGCAATATCAAGTTGTAATTAAAAAGATCCAGTCGAAATCATAGCCTTGGCAAGTCATACAATAGATTTTACATCATCTACAACGCATTCCCCAAACTGTGTTCCGCGGCACACACGTTCCGCGAGCGTGATCCATGAAAAAGGAATCAAAAATACGTCTAAAATGGTCGCCATGGCGATATATGGAATGCGAAATTGTCGCCCAACTGACCGTTAGATATTGCCTCACCGTCGGCCTACAGTTCATTATCAAGTTTAGAGCAATGCTTTCGATTTTGCTATAGGCAAACAAGTAGGTCTAAAGAATAAATGCAAAATGTCAACTCTTTTACCTCCATCTCTGTCTGGTTCTACTTTGAAATGCTGAAAAAATTACTCCTTTACGCTAAACCTATATTCAGTAGAATGAGTAGATAACTAAACGGCAGGTCTGCGGCTCTCGAAATTGCGGCAAGTACTTCTATCTCCATTAGACTTATCATTAGGGGTAAACACCACGTAATGGAAAGTAAACGACATAGAATGGTAAAATGAATGAATTGATTCATTACACAGCATTTAAATAAAGAACCAATAAAACATTTATAATAAACGCAATATGTAAAATATCAATCATATGTCAATCATATTTTAGGTATGTTCAACACAATTCTGTTCAGCAACTCACCAAGAAAACCCATTGGGAACCGCTACATTACACCGTTTTTTTTACCAATTATACTTTTTCATTTTTTTGTGTTCCGCATGACGAGATAAAAAGTGTAAGTGTTACGTGGCCATAAAAGTTTGGGGACGCTGATCTACAACATGCCTTTTATTTACTTTCCATTACAATATTAAAGTTATATTATTATAATATTTTTTTAAGATTTCGAGACCATTGGTTCTTATCTGAAAGCAGGTCTCTATTTTTTATATTTGACATAAAGAATCTATGTTTATCAGAAATTTTACAAATATTATCATTCAAACCCACCAGTTTCTCTTTGAACATCTGCCCTGTCAATAACAGGTGGTGTTTTCTCACCTAAAATAAATAAAATATACAATTTTTCAGTGTAGTTGTCCCACTAAAAGCACTAATGACATCAATTTCATTTTTTCTTCATGAACTGGCAGTGCTGTCATTAGGTTATTCAGATTGAGAAAATTCATTTTTGTTGTGTGTGAAATATACAATTAAACAACAAAATGGAAATATTATTATTATAATTTAAACATTATCTATGTCTAATTGGGGTTTGTATGAACCTGGTTGACAAGAGGCTGTGAAAGAAGCTATAAATCAAGTCAAGAGACCACAATTACAACAATTAAATTGTTGAATACATGACACTGCAAAGCAAAGATAACTGAATGGGGATTCTCAGCAACTACAATGGAGGAAATTGGTATTGAAGTTATGGAGATTTGGACAAGAGAAATACCTATATTTGAGATGTAGTGGAAAGAAGTCACACCAGAAACATTTCGATCAATAAGGCATACATAATAATAATGAAAATATAAAATATTCAAAAACATCAAAAGAGAATGATATTCATAAGACCTGATAAAAGCAACATCAATTTGTTGAAAAATTAAAATGGAAAACTTCCCCCAAAATAGGCCTCACAATAAGAGAATTACTGAGATATATAAGAACTGAGCTGGAGATTATTCAGTGATTGTTTCCTGAATATATTATAGTTTTTTTGAATTGATAGTAAGAGGAAATTCATTTTGAAGTTTTGTATAATGAACTTTATGAAATTTTGTGTCTTACTGGTGTCATAGTGAGTTAAATAAAAAGAACTGTTGGCAGAAACTCGGTTTCTTATGAATGAATTGCACTCATTTTGCAAATTCACATTATAACAAGTAAATGCAATAAGCAATTTATCATTATAGCTCTGGTGCATAATTTTCAGAACTTCAATTTCATAAATATCTGTAATTTTAACTAAGATCCGGAATTATTAACCCTGCAATCTGTAGCACATTGCAATTTGAAGAATGATTTTTTAGCAACCTCTTGATCAAAATTCTAATTAAAATCCAACATTCTTTCACTAGAGTCAAAAGGAGTAATTTAGTCCAACAAATAATAAATTGCCAGAAACGATGATTAGGAAACTATTCGCCTGAAAATATGAAACATTATAAACAAGACATTTCATCAACAAAATCTCTGTACAGTTTATGTGGGTATGTTAGTTTATTTGAGGTTAATAGATATATTAAATTATCTATAAAATTATCAGTAAAAGGTACTGCACAAGTACTAGAAAATTATTATCAGTAATTTTTATTACTCTGCATCATATCATGTTCTCCAGATGTGGTTTCTTCATCCTCATTTTCGAGTTCTGGATCTGGTTTTGCTGCATTAAAAAAAAAGTGGATCTGTAGTTTTACATAAAAACAAACAAAAAATTGTATTGTATAGAATAAAAAACAATTGATGCAATAGCAAAAACTATGCATCTAAAAAACACAAAAATAAAATAAAAATACCCAAAATATTATGATGTTACTTTATAGAATCATTAAGCACATTCTAAAACACTACAAATTAAACAAACTCATTGGCATAGTCACAAGTGACGACTTATGTAACGCAATCTACAGTGGAGTTAACAAATTTTGATTGTGAGTCACCACAAATAATCTAGATCATATTTGGATTAGTTACCGTAATAGTCAAGGTTTTGAAACAGTTTTTGTTATACATTCTTAATGTTATGAATAGTAATATTTAAATATGAGCAAGTTCTTAATCTTCAATGTTTTTATTTTCAGCACTGTTTTAATTTATTTTGAATGTTGTTGATTTGATTCAAATTTTTAATTGATTTATGTAAATTAGCAAATTATTCTACAATCTTCTATATTATCCTTTGTTCTTGTTTACACTAATCAACACTATTATACCATTATTATATTTTATGCTTTATGATGATAGCAACTAGAAATTCTGATCATTGAATTTTGGAAGTGTATTTTGAACATTGAACTTTGCTTGTTGTGTTATACGTTTTAAATATTCATCAATAGCAAAATAACATATTTATGCCCACTATTAATATTGACAAGAACCCTCCAGAATTTATAAAAGATAAAAGTTAAGAACAATAGAGTAATGAAAAAGAAATAATTGAAGTAATGATAATATGTAAACAGCAGTCATTTGATGTAGGAGAAACAATTCTCGGATTCGACAGAAGGTGTTTGTTTTTGATTGGAAATATTATGAATATATGGTGTGTAAAATGTTTTGACAATGTTATTCGACATGTTATTATTCTCAACTGTATTCCTGTAGATGTGAGATTGAATTGGGCTAAATGGCAAGAAGAAACTCATTTCATGTCTGTAAAATCGTAAATTTAAGTTAAGCCTCGATTCTGAGGTATTATAATAATTAAGTTATGTTCAAAAATTGAGTAGTAAAAGAAGAAAAAATAATAATGAATATCTTTAGCAGATTCTACTCATTTTTGCATTCATTAGAAAGAATGAAATAAAATGAGAAAAACTAATAGCTGTGAAGTGTCTGTGATGACGTGTCTGTCAGTGATTATTAAAGTTTAACATACTAAAACGGATTCTTCCAAGGATATTTTTTCTGCATTAAATATTGGTGTATTTTAGTTAACAAAACAAATTTTATTAATAAATAAGATTCCAACTGTTGATATTAGAAAGATAATATTAGAAAGTTGGTCATACTCTGCAAATCAAGTTCTGTTTTCTTTTCTCCAGATGCAGTTTTGTCATCACCATCTCTAATTTTTGAATCAGGTTCAGCTGCAATAATGAAAAAAAGTGAAGCTGTATAGTTTACCAAAAAATTAAATCTATACCATGATAAGGTTATTAGTAGACAATGGTTGCCACATTCCAGAATTTTATCATTTAGCAATGCATAGAAAATGTATAATTTAGTTCAATAATTCTCATGCTTTCTACACCAACAGACCACTGACACACAATACATCGTAGTCAGCGAAAGCAAACAAAATATTGAATTGAATAGGACAGAAAACAATTACTGTATATGTATTTGCATAACAAAAGGCAGTGTTTGTAATGCAATGGAGCAGACTATATATCTAGAACAAAAGAAAATCACAAAATACCAGAAAACAGTTGAAAAAACAATTGGTAAATTTATCTGAAAAAAATTGAAATTACTGAGAACTACTGCTTCACACTTAATATGTGGGACAACTGGTATCGAAGAATTTTTTAAAAGATGCTTCCAGTCTATTTTTTGTTTGCTTTTGTTTTAAATAAAGCTAAATTTGCTAAAAGCTAAATGGTATAGGCCATTCCAACTATTAACCTAACATAGATTAAAAAATATTGTTTGCAAACATAAGTACTAACTTTGAAATTAAAAAAAAATTGACAAAAAACCTGAATGTGTGCGGGAACATTTCAGGAATTCTCGACAACTCATTGGGGTTTGTGAAAACCCTAGTTGATTATACATTCATCTAAGGTTATGCATCTGCTAGCTATTACTATAACCAAAGTGCAATAGTATTTGGATAAAAATCCTGTCAGCTTCCTTTCTATATATGCAACAAAATGACGCTATTATGTTACTCTATGAAAGTATCGACTTGAATCCAGGTCTCAAAATCTTAGTACAAATTGAACAAACACATCAGCATAGTCACAAGTAATTACTTACAGTATGTGAAACAAGACCTAAATTTAATGCGGTGCCACCATATGTCAGAAGATTCAAAAGCACTACATACCAAATTTAATAATGAAATAAAACTTAGTTATATATTAGCGAGTTTGATCTTCAATATTTTTCCTCTCAACACTGTTTTAATTCTGAATAATGTTGATTGGCTAAGTTTTAATAGATTTATGTAAATTTACAGATTATTACAATCTTTAATTTTATCATTTGTTCATGTTCACACTAATCAATACTAATATATCATTATTCTACTTCAGGGGTGGCCGATCAGTTTGAAACCAAGAGTCGCATTTCCTACTTTATTAACGCAAAGAGCCACATTATAAAACAAGAACACACATGAACATCAGATATACCTTTATTCGGCTCCGTTAGAATGCTAGTTTAATATATATGTCCCTAACTAACATGATTATAACAGAAATTCATAAACCATTTATTGTCATACATGCTATTTAGTGGGACTTCTGGCATTCCTTGAATTGAACAATGCTCTTTAAATTTGGCTTGTATGCCACTGTAACCAATTGAAGCAGTTCTTTCACATGGGTGTCAGTTAAAACAGATCAATGCTCTGAGAGTACAAAACACAGATTCGCAGACGTATGTTGACCCAAACTTTGACAATATCCTAAGCGCAGCTCGTTTGACATTGGGATATTTTCCCATCGGCATGCTTTTCCATATCTCAATGGTTCTATCCTTTAAAGCGCATTTCAGTTGGTCTTCCTCATACAGATTGATCATCTTTACCTCAGTTGCAGCCTTATCTGGGGCTAGAGAAAATTTCAAACAATCCGTCTCAGAATTAAATGGTTCGTCGACATCGTAAAAATCTGTGACGTTTTTTCTGCACCTCAATTTCTGTACTCAAATGTTAAACTGTGCGTTTGTCGTTGAAATTCGTCTCTGATACAATTACGACAGCCGTTGTAGTGCATTGAACGCATCTCACAACAATGAATTTGATTTTGATGTAATAATGGATGTTTGCAAGGTTGAATGAAGGCGTTCAAGTGTCTTCGATGTAAAAGAGAACAATGCACGATGAACAATTAACTTTGCGTGTTTGTGTTAAAACTTTTTGTCAACTCATCAATAGCAAAAGAAGATAGATATTCATGTCCTCTGATTACAGTAACCTGTCCCAGTTTACATCAATCAAAAGGATATTTATGACTTTGTTAATAGTTAAAAGAACCTCCCAGTATTTAAACAAGACAAAAGTTAACAACAGAAGAGTAATGGAATAGAAATAAGTAGAGTAATGATAATAATCAGCAGTCATTTGATGTAGGGGGAACAATTCTCAGATTCAACAGGGTGTGTTTGTTTTTCATTGGTAATAATAATAGGATATATGGAGTGAATATAGAATATAGAGTGTAAAATATTTTCAAAAACATAAATAAAATATCACAAGGTTATCCAACATGCTTTTATTCTCAACTCTATTAATGTAGATGTGGCATAGAATAGGGCTAAATGACAAGAAGAAACTCATTTCATGTCTGTGAAGTTGTAAATTAAAGTTAAGCTTTGATTTTGAGGTATTATTATATTAAGTTTTGGCAAGGTTCTACTTATTTCTGCATTCATTAGAAAGAACGAAATAAATAGGGATAAAATAATAGCTGTGATCCGTCTGTGAAGATGTGTCGGTCAGTGGTTATCAAAGTTTAACATGCTAAAGCGGATTCTTTTGAAGATATTTTTCTGCATTGAATCCTGTTGTATTTTGGTTTACAAAATAAGATTACCAATTGCCTTAATGAATAAGATTCCACCTGCTGATATCAGAAAGTTATTATCAGTAATTTGTTATTACCTTGTGAATCCAACTCTGTTTTCTTTTTTCCAGATGTCGTTTTGTCATCACCATCTCCAAGTTCTAAATCTGGTTTAGCTGCATTGATAAAATAAAAGTAGATATGTATAGTTTCCAGTAAGAAATTAAAATGGTCATTATATGAATCCATACTCCATGTTTTTTTTTGGTTCAATAGTTCCTATCCTCTCTACATCAATAGACCAGTAACAATAAATAAATTGTAGTCACAGACAGCCAAAAAAATATTGAATTGAATAGAACAGAAATTAATGTTATACACTTGCATAACATAATGCAGTGCTTGTAATTTAATGAAACTGACTAAACAAAACAACAACAAAAAACAAAATCGTTAAAAATACAATTGGCAAATTGATTTAAAGAAAAATTGATATTACTGAGAACTTCGCTAATGTTCACTTCCAATATGCAAAACAACTGGCATAAAAAAAAATTGGGAAAGATTCATCTAGTTAGCCTTTTGCTTGTTTTGGTGGAGTTAAATGGGGGCCAACATTTTCAATCTTTTACATGAGAATATTTATTTTTTTCAGTAAAGTGGAGTTTTGATATTTTTGAGTGTTATTTGATCATTAATGACATACCATTACTAGATTTTGCTGCCAGTTCATTGTTATGAATGACAGGAATTTCATCATTTTTCATTTCATCACAAGTTTGTGATCCTTTTATTTTAGAAAAATTGATAGTGCAATGATAAACACAAAAAATAAAAAATTTGAATTAGAGTTTTACCATGTACCAATATACTAACAATCTAATAGTGATTGAAAGTATTGTTTTGTCAACATGAGTTCTACTTTTAAAATCAAAAGGGAATGAATAAAGATAACAGATTGTGTGTGAGAAGATTACAAGAATTCTCAATGTATAATTGGGGTTTGTACAAACCTCGAATGATTAGCATAAATCTGTGCATAGTGATGACAATGTTTAGGCAACTAAGTTCTTATCAATTATGTTCCTTGTCCTCAAAACCTTCTTTAAATAAACTTTTCTGTACAACTTGCTTGGGTGTGTTAGTATATCCGAGGTTGTTGAATTATAAAATTTTTTGAAAATTTTTGTTGAACAATTACTGTCAGAAAGTTATTTGTAATAATTCATTATTACCCTGAAAATCTAGCTCTGTGTTCCTTTCTCCAGATGTATTTTCTTTATCATCATTTCCAAGTTCTTGGGCTGGTTCAGCTGTATTGATAAAAAAAAGATAGTTGTGTGAAGTTTTCCAAAAAAAGTATGAGACCAAACTGCTCATAATATAAATCCATACTCTGCATTCATTGTAGTTATTTTCATGGTATGATCTTTCTAAAGAGAGATTTAGTTATTTTTCTGTTTCTATAAAAAGTGACATATTATTCAATTAACAATGACATACCAATGACTAGTTTGTGCTGCCTGTTCATTGTTAAGAAAGGGAGCAAATTTTATGATTAGTTTAAAGTCCTCCGATTTCTGAAAAATGGATAGTACAATGATAAACTCAAATACCCTGCAAATTTTGTTCTGTATTCTTTTCTCTAGGTGTAGTTTCTTCATGACCATTTCCAAGTTCTGAGACTGGTTCGGCTACATTAATGAAAATGGTTTATATGAGACTAAACTGGTCATTATATAAATCCATACTCTGGAAATATACTAGTAATATATTACTTTACTTTGACTATTGACACCACACCACACGATTTTCTCATTCAACTATGTGCAGACAGGGTGCATATAAATGGGTTATTTAGATAAATAATTATGATCTTTTCTCCACCAACAGACCACTAACATTAGATAAATTGTAATCACAGATAGTCAACAAAATAGGGAATTGAATAGAATAAAAATTAAATGCATTTGCAAAACATGAAGCAATGTTCGTAATGCAACAGCACAGTATATGCATTTAACACAAATATCCTAAAACACCATATGTAAGACAACTGGAATTAAAAAAATTATTGAATGATGTATCCAGTCAATTTTATGAGACCAAATTTTGCAGTCTTTTTCATGAGGTAATTTTTCTAATTTAATTCTAATCTACCGGTAATCTAATTTTTTCTATTTATTCAATTAACAATGACATACCATGCATATTTTGTGCTGCCTTTTCATTGTTCTGAATGAGAGAGTTCTCATCATTCTTCATTCCACCATCAGTTTGAGGTCCTTCTATTTTTGAAAAATTTATAGTACAATCTTAAATCCAAAAAACAAAGTCACCATGTCATCAGAAAAAGTCATCATGTCAGCAACACCTTGTTTGCTGAGTTGAGAGGCAAATGACATTAAACAAACATGGGAAATAAGAATTAGGTTATATCATTATGAATTCAGTTTAGAAAATATAAATTAAATATAGGACAATATAAATTAATGGATGGTATACACTCAAAAAGTTTGAAGGCCTAGTTTATTAAGTATGGAAGTTTTACTTGATTTATATAAATTAGCAGATTATTCCACAATTTTCAGTATTATATATGTGGTTTTTATTAGTGATTACAGCATTCAAGTCATGTAGGAGCAACAAGACAAGAGGATTATCATTTTATTATTTTTTGAAACTGTGAATTTAGGTTTAGCTGTATAAAATAAAAAAGACGAGGGAAACTAGTAAGTATGAAGTGTTTATCAAAGTTTACCATACTGAGGCGGCATATTTTTGTCTTGTAAAATACAGGTACTCTGTATTTTCGTTTCTAAGCTGAGTATACCAATTGTGTTAGTCGATAGGATTCACAAATCCATACCCCAGGCCAGTACTGTAATATCGCCATGTTCAAGAATGAACTGCAGCTTTGTTTCCTAATATTAACTCGGCTTCCAACTAATAGTCAATTAAGCTTGATGGCATTGTCTAGCTAGTGCAACATGGAGTCCAACAAGACTTCAAAAATAAAGCATGATCTTCTTTGTATTAATGGAGACGCTTTTCTTATTGATTTGCCAAAGAAGCGGACATGAAAATTTGCTCATCGGCAAAGACCATTAACTAACTGCAGGGTGGAAAATGCATATATGTATAAAACAATGTGGCAATATAAACACTTGATTCAATTTCATCCAACCATCTTTCATTAAGTTTTTTTTTCTATGTTGACCAGTAGAGAGACAAAACATGAAAACTAACTCAAACGTGATTCTGATATATTCTGATAATCTACAAGGCCTAAAATTGAGTGTTTATCATAAAAATAGTCCCATGGTTAATTTTTAGTATTAGATTCAAGAAAAATACTTGTTTAGTAATTACCTACAGCTTTGAAACATGTGTGAGTAAAAGGGAGCAAATTTCGGAATTCGCCAAAATAAGCGCTTTTCATGAAGTCTCGATAAAAAATATGACTTTTACTGGCAAACTAAGGCATTAAGGTATGTATGGTAAATGTAAAAATAGATTTGCAATCAGTATTGGCCAATTTATATCTGTGACTAAATTTGTCACACGGAAGAAATGTTCATAAAAGCGCAAGTGAAGTGTGAAACAAAATAACACTGCGAAACGTCAAGGCAAAAGAGGTCATCAAATTCCATAGATTTCAAAATTTTTTAAAACTGTCACATTGAATTGAGTCTAATTATAGTTCGTGCGGCATTTTTGCAGTGACTTGTGACAAAGTAGATTAATCTTGAGTCTTGAGTTACATTGGCCAAATTTAACTAGCCTTCAGAATCATTTCAAGGTTGTATAAAAGTTAGGGACAACTGTGTGGGCCACGTCACATTCGAGCCTCTTTAAATCTTACTTTCAAATGAAGAGAACTGCTTATCAAATATTCTTGGTATCAAGACGATAATGCACTTAGAGCTAGGTTCAAGTAAGTACTTGAATAGCTTAGTAATTTTTTCACTTATCCCTTACTTGAGTATTTTTACAGACTTGCAAATAAGCAATTTTTAATTGTGCTTTATATAGTATTTTAGACAAGAATTGGCTGCAAGAAAAGTAATAAATACAGATTTTCCATTTTTTTTGATCAATAGACCTCTATCAATGCTATTGGATGATAAAGAATTTACCCTGCAGGGTTACATAATTTGCATGGTTTCTGATGTTGCTTCAGTATTGAATAAAAAAGGGGGATTTGTGCAATCATCTACCAAATATGCCATTTTCATAGACTGATTCTCACAGTTTGTGAGGTTATATACAACAATTGTCCCAATATGGATAACATACATACGTGAAGATGAAACATGATTTTTTTTTATATGAAGCCCTATTTTATCACATGGCATAAAATAAATATACAAAAGAGGGTATTCATTAATATTACTGGCCATACTTGCATCATTGTTGTGATAATTTGTGTTTTACTGTTATTTATATAAGCATATAAGGTTTAGATAAAAGAAATTTAATATTTACAATTTACCAGCATACAATAACAATGACTTTTTTTTCTCCAAAATGTGGTAATATTTAATATAGGTTAAATTTTTTTTATGCTTAAATGATGATAGTAGAAGTTCAGAGAGTTCATCTGAATGCCTCATTTGAATATCAAATTATACAATTATTTATTGTTTGGTTGCATTGTATTTCATATATACCCAAAATCAGGTAAAAAAAATTACTAATAATTTATAATCAGTTATATCTGTAGTTATTCTTAAAACAATTTAAAGAAAACATCTCAAATAGTAAACTTTTTGCGGCAATCCGCATTAAATTAAAATATATATACGGTACCCAAAACACAGAGTCAATATGAAAATTGCAAAACATTCAATTATTTTGGTTATTTATGGAGTACTATTTATTACATGTTTTTAGAAAAATGTGTCATGAAATATACAATAATTTGCTTCATAATATTAGCTCATCTCACCTAATTCAGTAAAGATTTCTTCCATTGATTCTGTTATTGATACAGAGTTGTCCAAATCTAGATAACATAGCATGACATGAAAAAATTACCGTACTTGAACAAAAAAAAAACTGGACCTCCTGAAGTATGCGAACCAAGATGGCGCACAACCTGAACTCAGGTTGTGTACCAGGTTAGGGTTCAGGTTGTGTGACACCTTGGTGCGCATACTTCAGGAGTACCAAAAATCTATTCAGAATCGCTTCTTGGTTACTTTTTAGATATTCAGTGTCTTGCTTTTCTTGAGTAGAAGGTTCATGCTGTTCCACTTTTCTAGATGTCTCAGGGCTTTCTTCTGCTGAATCTAAACAATAGCGAAAATTCGCTATTACCAACTTGATTTGGCATGCACATATAGTCATGGATAGATTATAAACAGCAAGCAAGTTCGAAAAAATCACCTTGTTGACATTACTAGGAAATATGCATGACCTATTTATAGCAAAACGCACAATGTAAATTGAAACATTGCCCGTTGATAATTTTTTATATTGAAAAAATAAAGAAAATTCTGGAAAGGAAACCAGACATCTTGTGAATGTACTACAAAGCAGATTAAAAAATCTGACCTTCTCCATTTTCATCTCCCATTGGCAGAAAAACAAATGATTCAGGTTCACTTGACAATGAAGCAGGGGAATCTCCTATAAATATAAATTATTCATCACTACCAAGTTTACTTTAACACTTTAAGAAGAGAAACTTTTTCGGCTTTTAACTGACGATGGCTGCAAATAATGAAACTTCACAATTTTGTTTTATGATTTTGATTAATGAATACATAAATTAGTCGCATTCAGTTTTCTAACTGTAGAAAAATGTATTGGGGTTGTGTTAAAACTATAAATAAGAAGTTTCTATTGCAAAATATAGGAAATACATTCAAGTATTAAACGCAAGTCACAATTACTTTTTCCTTTACAAAACATATTTGGCCATTGTGTGTAATATTAATTTTCCTTCAATTGAGATGTATGGTCAAATAACAGTCAAAATATCCTATTTTTAATTAACCATAGTAAATCTCATAGATTAAAATATTACCCTCCTTCTCACACAATTCTTGGTTAAACTCTTCATCAGCAATAGTTCCAACCTGTAGCATAAATTTAATTTATAATGTTCTTGTTCAATAACAACTATCCATATCTAATCAAGTTATATGTGTTATCACCAGTTATTCCTAATTTGCAGATTCATTTATTATTAATCAAATCCTCAGTAGTGTTTTAATTTTTTGCACATTTGATCTATAAACAGGTCAGTGAAAATACAAAACATCAAAACTAAATACAAGTTATGCAAAAATACAAATTTCACAAAGCATTTCAATGAACTATAACTTTTGTGTTGTATGAACAACTCAACAGCTTAAACATAACTGAATAGCAATCACTAATACAAACCGGAGGTTGCACCATTTTGGCGGCACTGAGAAATGAATCCAATTTTTCTTCGTTATCAGTAGAGGTGATGCAAAATTGAATAAAGTGAAGAGGCCAGTCAGTGTTTTCTGTCATCTCTCTGTACATTGATTTTAATGTTTGGAAGTACTATATAATTGTATATAGAGTCAAACATGAATGCATCAGGTGAATGAAATATTAAATATCAGACAAATCTTACGTTGCTTTATCTTGCCAAATGTCCACGATAAGTTGTTTGAGAATTTCATTGTAAGTCTCTAGTTCATTCCACAGTTGTATTAAAGAAACATGACTTTCATTGAAAGCTTGGCTACATATCACAGACAGAAGTTCTGTAACTTTCACACCCATTTCAAGGTCTATTCAAAATATATTTTTAATTTTTTGTAAATGCTCAACCTTATATAAAGAATATAAGAATATACAAAATAAATTGTATTTAAGATTTGAAAAATTTAAATAATTTCATGCAGTGAGACAATAATGCATTTAAATACTAGATGTGAAAATATCTGCCAAGCAATTTTCATTCTAACTCACTATAATCGAAAAAAAAAAAATTTTATTGTTCATCTATCCATGTTCATATTTGATTCTACTCAAGGTAGAAGTGCCAATTGACTGCTTAATATCATTTTATGGAACTATTTTATTGATAAATTTAGAAAAAAAACTCAAATGCACAATGGATTATACATTTCTCAATCTATTTGAATAATTCATCTCTGTTAACATTACAGTTTACCTTATGATAAATAAGCACTCACCCTCATCATTCAAGGCAGTAACAAAACATGACACGTCCTTATTTTTCTCTTGAACAATTTGAATAATTCTTTCAATAGATTCACAACTCCCTTTCGTTTTTATCATATTCATGATTTCAATTCGTTCATCTTGCAATAAAGAGATTTTGCGAATAGTTTATAAATATATTAGAATTATAATAAAGAAAAAAATGATATAATTCTAATATGTGATGAAATATGGATTCTAGACAGATTATTATCATATCATCAGATTTTAAATTTTCATAACAATTTTCAATTTGACAAACATTTCATGTGATAAGATTTATTCCAAACTTCACCCTCAAGTGTGTTTACTTCATAAGATATTTCACAGTCTAGTATTTGTACTCACATACAAAAGGATGTTTAGTCCCAATCATGCAAAACATTTAACACTGTTTTTCTTTATTTGAAAAATTTTAGGCATCGAGGCAACCAATGTGATATGCATATTTAATAAATGTCGAACCGCCTGTTTTATCCGATCATTAAAAAAATTCAGTTTTACTATTACTGCGACTAATATAATACTAAATTATGACCTTTTAACATCCCCGATCGTCAATGACCATAAAATTTGTTTAGATCATTAGACGATGTGTAACGATACAAATTTTACCACTAATGTTGGAAATAAATTTCTAAGAAAAAGTTTTGCGGCTATTCTTCAAATTCAACTCCTAACTATTAGCGCTGGCAACATTGTGAAGAGTAGAATTTCATCGGATTAAACATGGTTTTTAGGTATAAAAGTAATATATTAGGGGAAATGACTGGGTCAATATAATATCAGGAGGACTAAACCAGTGTATTACAGAAAAAATTCATGATTATTAGTGATCGTCATACCTTTGGTAATGATATCATCATCGCGAAGCAAGAAGGCCAACTTCTTCATTCTTGCCTCATCATACACCACGCATTTCTTCAAAACGACCGAGATACATTGCAAACGTGCAGAATTTTCCACACCCGCACTCATCTCGGCCATTGTTGAATGACAGCAACGGCAAATATATTTTTAATTCTGTGGCATTTACGATTGATTGTAATTGTAAATATGCAAACTGACGGAATATATATATATGTTCATGAAAAATTATAAATATAGCATAAAGTTGAATATATATTTATATATATTGAGTGCAATGATATGACACCAGATGCGATATGTACCTTTGGGTTACTGAAAATAAAATTTAGTTGATTCAACTCATTTAATTGCATATTTTCAAGTTTTCACAATAAATATTAATCATACAAAAGATGTTAAAGTTGATAAAGGTGTTAAGTATTAAAACGCTAGAGGTAATAGGTTGCAAAACACAAAAAAATTCTTCCATAATACCCGTACTCTCTTCTCAAAACATTCCTTTTCAACTGCAGTGTGTTTCACTATCTACACACATTATTGGCAGACAAACTCAAAACTAATAATTAGGCAAAATTATTTCATAAAACTTTTTTATGGTTTTTAAACATCCAACTCTGACATATAACTGTGACTAAGAGTGGCAAACAATTATATCACGAAAGAACAAACAAATACACACAAAAATTGCATTTGAACCCCATCGATTAAATGGTGAGGTTTTGGAAACGTTAACATAAGTCTGCAATCGTGCATCCTAAAACTATTTTACGCAATTTACGCTTACTGAACAGTGAAGTACAGTGTGAAAAATGCAGAAGTTTAAACGCTCAGTGGTACAGCTCAAATAAAATCGGCCAATCAGAAACAATCAAGTTCTGCACAAACAAGTCTTTCTTCGAACGGAAGGATAACCTTCACTTCTACCTATAGAATCCCCTGAAATATGTACTCGGTGCTCGATGGAGACGATTTCCCACGAGTCCACAGATTACGTTTGTATGAAACAAATTCGATTTTTGCCTAAGCAGTCACATAGGTAATAAGGGTTAAACTTTAACCCGGATTTAAAATAACTTGATTTTTGCGATATTGCAAAACGTGTCCAGACCAAATTATAAATAACAAAAAAAAGTAAATACCTAACAACGAGCGTTCTGCAGAATGCGAGAATGACTTTTGAATCCAGTGACTTCCTGGCGCAATGATATATGACGAACCTTTGGGTTAACTTACTGATCATAAAATTCAATTATTTCAACTCACTCAATTGCATATTTTTAGGTTTTCACAAGTAATAATAACCATAGAATGGATGTTTAAAGTAAAAGTATTACAAAAGTAGTGGTAATAATTGTAAAATTCTCTTCTAAAAACATTATTACTTTTTAGTTTCTGAGTAATTGCAGATTTGCAGTGTGTTTTACTATTTACACCAATTATGACCAGGCTGAACCCTAAGTAATAATTCACCAATAATATGAAACTTTAAATAGAACTGATTTTAAAACGGTCCACTCCAACATAATTGTGACAGTGAGTAGCAAAATTCAAATCACAATAAAAATTGAATAACCGATTTCAGTCTAAATGGCGAGCCATTTACAACTGGGTTTACAAATCTTCAATATTCTTGTATTTGCAACATGATATTTCATTTCATGCATTAGTTTCTAGATAATATCTTCAAACCATAAATAAAATAACAAAGGCCGTTATTCTTGAAACCTAAAACTATTTTACACAATTTACGTTTCAGACCAGCCGAGCTACTGTGTCGAAAAGGCAGAAGTGTAAACGCTCAGCCGTACAGCTCAATGAAAGTTGACCAATAAGAAGCAATCGAGCTTTATACGGCTTGGAGCAAACAAGTCTTTGTTAAACATAGCAACCATGTACGAACGAAAGTTTAATAATCTTCACTATCCATGGAATCCCCTAAAATATCTACTGGGTGCTCGATGGAGTAAACTACCGCGGGTCTACAGATTACGTTGCGTAAAACAAATTTGATTTTGACTTAGCAGTCACATAGAAAATTAGGGTTAAACTTTAGCACCGATATAAAATAACTTGTTTTTCATGATTACCAGACCTTTGGCCAGGCATATTGAGAAACGTGATCAGATTCATTTGTTAATAAAAATGAACATTTTGATGTGATTAATTTCGGCAGAAAGTTATTATCCAACGACAAATGATTTGCATGAGGATGGATTTTGAATCAAGTGATTTTCTGGTGTAATGATGCAAAACCACATACGCTATGAGCCTTTGGGTTAATTTACTGATCTCAAAATTTAATTAATGCAACTCATTTAATTGCATATTTTCAAGTTTGCACAAAAAATAATAATCATGCAAAAGATGTTAAAGTCAAAAGTAATAAAAAAAGCAGTGGTCATAAATGTAAAGTTGATAAAATTCTTCGGTATAATAACTGAATTGTCTTCTAAAAACATTATTACTTATTAGTTTCTGCGTAATCGCAGATTTGCATGTGTGTTTTACTATATACACAAATTATTGGCAGGCTGAACCCTTAGTAATAATTACCCAATAATGTTAAACTTGACATAGAATTGATTTTAAAATTCTCAAATCCAACATAACAGTGAATAGCAAAATTCAAATTTCAGAAAAAACGATCGTTATCGATTTACAACGAGGTTTAGAAATTTTCGATATTTTTCATTGGCAACATACTATGTCATTTTAAGTTTTAGTTTCTAGATAAAAAAAATTAACACAGGTCGATAATCTTGCATCCTAAAACTATTTTACACAGTTTACACTTTCAGACCAGCGGAGCTGCTGTGTCGAAAATGCAGAAGCGTAAATGCTCAGTCGTACAGCTCAATAAAAATTGACAAATAAAAAGCAATCGAGCTTTGCACGGCTTGGTGCAAACAAGTCTTCGTTCAACATAGCAACCATGTACGAACGAAAGTTTAATCACCGTCACTACCCATAGAATCCCCTAAAATATATACTGGTTGCTCGATGGAGATAAACTACCGCGGGTTCATATATTACGTTTGCCTAAACAAATTTGATTTTGACTTAGCAGTCACGTAGGTAATAGGGGTTTTAACATCGATATAAAACAATTTGTTTTTCATCATTACCAACCTTTGCCGAGACATATTGCAAAACGTGTTCTGATTCAATTATTAATAAAAAATATTCATTGATCCACAAATGCTGTGAACAATTTATGTGATTAATTTTGACAGTGAGTCATTATCCAGCGGCAAGCGTACTTCAGAAGAATGAATCAAGAAGCGAAGAATGAATCAAGAATGGCGAAGATGGTTTTTTGACTGGAACCAGAGCTATATATATATATACACTGCAGGTAGAAACCCAACGACTCAAAATTCATATGGGCTTCGACATTCAAATTTGAACTATTATTTATTATTACTTTTGTCTTAGACAGATATCAGCTTGCCAGAAAATGCCACAATATGATGCGAATTCTTAAAGATTTTGTCATTCTGGGTAGGCCGCGAGAATCCCATTTGTTAAGAATAGCATTTAGGATGAAATGCATTTTTTTGATGTGGAACCGATATCTTAAGATCCTATGCTGAAATAACGCTGAGACAGCGTTTTCCAAACTTTTTGCGCATGTGACACACTTTTAAAACACAAAAATTTTAAAACCAAAATTTTAGCTTAAAAATTCTGAAGAATTTATACGAGCTAGTTTGATTTGATTTAACTTAGCATTTTTATATTTTGTTGAATGCGAGATTGGGATATTCGCATTTTGTCATCAAATATTAATGTATTAGTGTAGGAGGAAACTGTAGTAGACGAATTATAAACGTATTTTTTTTTCTGGAAGAGTTAAAGCTGATAAGTTTTAAACCTGATCATGAATGTAGTGCGTAGGTCTAATAAAGTCTAAAGCACATAAAATTTCAAAAGATCAGTAATTCTGATACCACGATTTTAACGACGAAGTCACTTAAAATTGTTATTAAACTGTATCTAACCGGTGTGTCTGAAGTTCATTTGGCAGCAACATATCGTTCTGCAATCAACACACTCAATGTGTTGCCACACACAGTTTGGGCAGCTTTGCATTGAGCAAAGCTAATGCAACCAAGGACACACGTCGTCAATATGGTTAGTCATATCATACTGTGTTATTATTGAGCTACATATAGTTCCGTTTTGCTGGCCACAATAGCGGTGGTTCATATGATTCAGCGTCGGCATTACTTAGCCATCGGCGAAGCAAAAACACGCATGAAACGGTTTATGGGCAAACCGCTAAAAATACAGGGTACAAATACATATATATACAAAATATGAAATATTTTTTAGGCTTCAACTTCTACTTGTACATACGACTAGAAGTACTGTTGTTCTCTTGCATTGAAGACAGATTTGCATCCGTTGCGCAAAATTGTCAATTACCAACAGGCCCTCTTCTTTGGGGACTTTTCCGATTTGTTACTACAATTGCAGCTGTGAATGAACCAATTGTTTGCGGAATGTTTTGATGCACATTGTCCTTCGAATACTCCCACAGATAAAAAATAAATAAATAAATAAAGTGTTCAAGTGTAATAAAGGAGGTTCCCGCTCGAAGCACAATTCCTGCTGATGAGCCTTTTCTGGAATCGCTCTCCCAGTCAGTCAATGTCGTGATTTTATAATATTTGGGGGTCTCTGTAACAATTCATTTCTTTGGAGGTGCTGTACTCGGGGAAACATTATTTTTGCTACTGACATGTCCAGTAGCAAAAACTGACATCCTGACTAAGTGGGTATTTAACAAATTTGCGCGGTGAATACTGTCTACTGCCTTCGTTTATGTTGGGTCGTTTAGAACATTTTCTAGCGTGAAAATAACTTTTGTTTAAAGCGTCCTATAATCTTGAGATTAGGGTTTATTCATACACAAACAAGAGCATACAAGTGTTACCAAATTCAAAAGATTTACCCCATTTTCACGGCAGTAATTAATAAATTTATGGGTTCCGCTTTTTTTTGTACAAATAATAAAAACGCCCGACTTTTCAGAGGTTGTATAAACTCTAAATCAACAAAAAATTAGCAATCGATGAGGTTATGCAGCGCAGGGCATAACGATAAAAGTTCACTATTCGAGTATAGTAGAATAAAATGCTTACCATTTATTTACCAGGCCGTTGTCTGTAGGTATTGCGTAGACA